AATGGTAGGAGAGGAAGGCCCCACAGCTTCACAGCTTGTTCAGAAGCCTGACAGCCTGTGGGTAGAAACTGTTCATTAACCGGGTTGTTCTAGCCTGTATGCTGCGAAATCTCCTGCCTGATGGCAGGATGGTGAACAGGCTGTGTGCTGGGTGACTGCTGTCTGACCGGATCTTTTTGATTTTCCACTCTTTATCTGAGTGTGTCACTCTTTACCTTTATTGCTGCTTCCATTCTTTTCAGGAGACTCACTTTCAGTTTTTTCAAGTTCAGTCTTAGAAGTTGGTTGATCATTTTCTGAAGTAATCCAGATACATTCAGTGATACTGAGGTCTGGACTCTGGGGTGATCCGTCCATTTTTGTGAGAACACTGGCAGCTTCCTTGATTGAGAAGTATGTCTTGCTCTTCTCAGCAGTGTGCTTGGGGTTATTATCTTGCTGTAGAATGAATTTCTTCCCAGTCAAATGCTTTTTCAAAAGGTACTGCATGATGTATTGATCAGCGATCGTGATGCTGTCAGTTAAAAAATGCCAGCTCCAGATGTTGTTGTACATTAAGTAAACTTGCTAAGCTAGACTCATGGTTGTGGACATGGCTTGAAGAGTCTTTCATTGCTTTGACGATGTACGTTCTGCCCTCTGGTGCCTCCAAAGTGCAAATCTCCACATCTCAGAGGTCCAGTTTCAGTGTTTTATTGAAAAACCCAGTCTTAGACGTTCTTCACTATGCAAACACATTCAGTGATGTTGAGGTCTGGACTCTGGGGTGGTCAGTCCATTGTTCAGCTTCTTTGTTTGATGTGTCGGTCTCCTTTTCTCAGTGAGGTTCTTCTTGACAGCTACACATCCTTTCAGACCCATAGCGCTGAGTTGTCTTCTCACAGTGGAAGGATGGACAGAAACACCTGTGGATGATTTCAGATCTGAAGCAGCTTGATTTTCTCCTTTCTCTCAAAGATGAAAGCTTTAAGTGCTGTTTATCTGATGGGGTCAGTTTTGGTGTCTACCTGGTCTTCCAGGTGGTTGTTAGGAGGCTCATTTTCTCTGAGCTCCAGTTTTAGTATTTGATATTATATTTGATATTATATTTAATTGTTGAGGCTTCTGTGTAATTGTCTGTTAATTTATGTTTTTGGCCTTGCCTTGTACTTAATGGCTGTTTTGACTAGTAAATAAATGAAAGGGGGGTCTCAACGTTTCCACAGCACTGTTCATTTCAACAATGTAGCAGTAATGACTCTAGACTTGTAAGGGTTAAACATTACAGCTGGTTAATTCTCATCAGTCTCAGCGAGTACAGTAACGAGGGGCAGGATTGGCAGGGCTTGGCCTAAAGCTTTTGTTAAGTGTCTGAACAACACTGCAAATACCTTTGGGGCCCCCTTTCATTGTATGAATAGCCAGGATGGCTCTGTTTGGTCCATGTTCTGTGCACTCAACATCATAAAAAAAAAGCCCAGTGTGCTGCAACGTGTTGGCCGGGGTTAATGATTGACCGGCGTGGGGGGTTGACCTTGCGTTACAGGTGCTGGAGCATGGGCACACGCTGCAGTTTTTATCTGCCAGCAGACGCGTGCTGATAATGACGTTTGTGTAGAAATAAGCAGGGTTCAGTGTCAGCGCGCTGCAGGGAGGGGGCGGAAAGCTTTTGAAGACGTGGCCTTGTGGTTTCCACTGCTGTATATTTAGGCAAAAAAACCTCCTTCATTCATCCCAGAGTCGTCTGCCTCCCATATTCCTGCTCTGCTCAATTCTAGACATGGTTGCAGAGTAGTAAGTCATGTTGTCGTTTTCAGTATTTCAGTATTCATTAGTAATCAAAGAGTAATTTGATTACAATTTTTAAGGGCCAAAATTGTGGAAAACTGAATTTCACACTTTCATAAGTAAGACTTGTATGTAAACATTGTTTAAATATGTGACCCCAATCTGTGTCACACATTTACATATATCTGCCTATTCAGCCTACAGCAGCTTAGCTCCGCCTGTTCACGCTGAAGTTATAAGTATAAGCTTGGACTTTTTTGAATGAGGTACAATATCCAACCTGAGCCAATCAGAACAGTGATCTTTTGCATGTATGTTGTAAAGGCACAGTAACAATCTAAGGGATAAAGAGATAAAGGGATGCGCTCTTTAGACTGTAAATACTGCTGCTACTCCTAGTTATGTTTATACTGTTACACTTTGTTTTAAACTCATACTATTTAGTGCAATACCTGCTCTCATGAAATACAACAGTCTGTCTTATATGCTTATGTAAATATGCTAAAAGATATCACTGCTGTCAGAACAAAACCCCGTAGCTCCAAAGTGGTAACTTTACAGGAGAAAGGAAAAAACATACTTTACTTTTGATGTAAGTCAGTGGAGCCAGACTTTTTTTTACAAGTACTTTGGCCTGTTTCTTCTGGTCCATTCATCATGAAATTTGCACACAATGTAAAGAGCAACAGGCATTTTAAAATTATGTCAAAAATGGAAAGATTCTCTCATAGTTGACTCAAATTTATGTCAATTCTTTTTATTTCTGCCTAATTTATATCTATTTTTATGTCTTGCTACTGTAGCACTATAATTTCACTTCAGGATCACTAGAGTTCTGTCTGTCTGACTGTCTGTCTGTTTATCTATCCATCAATCTGTCTAGGTGGGAAAATGATCTTGTAAAAAAGAATTATGAATGTTTCTGGTTCATAAACCCAAAAAGATTAGAAATTATATGTATGTATGTTGAAAGTGTGTTGTATTGCAATACTCAAATAGCACACCATGAAAATATATTTATTATAGACTTTGACAGTAATCAGTAAATAAAGACCAGCTGCTGTTGGAGGATGGAACCTCTCCGTTCACTGTGGTTTTAAACCAGTTAAAGATTTCTTGTGCAGTGCTGGTGGGTCTGTTTCACAAAGTATCTGAGCCTTCATATGTGATCCTAGACTCATAGTAATAATTCTGTTTAATGAGTTTGCACCTGTGAAGAGCATGAGAAATCTGAGAAAACTGTAGAAGCTTTAGTGGGCTTTCTGAATGACCTAACTTCCAGAGCTTCATGCTTACACACAGCATCAGTGTGCTGATGCAGGATTAGATTGTAATGCAGAGCTTTACATTACAGGCAAAATACCATGTTTTTATTATGTATCTACATGTTGTGATTGCGATATTTGTGATACTTTCTAACATATTAAAATTGCACTGGTGAGTCACTGATGTAGCACAATTAAGGACTGCATTTTGACCATAATCACTTAGGTTTGTTAGGCCATGACAAGGCCATGACAAGGCCCTGATTCATTAAATGTCAATGATGGGCTTTTCAGTCAAATTTGATTTTCAAGTTGTAAGACATTGTCACCCAGTGTCTAAGAAATAAAAACACTCAGACTCTCAGCATCATATTACTGCTTAGTTTAAACTAAGAGCACAGATCCATGACAGGTGGCTTGAAATTTACAGAGACAGCAGTCACTCTGGAGTCTTTAAGATAAACAGACATGCTGATCATCTCAGCTTTAATCCTAAGCTCAGAGACATACTCAACTCAAGTATGTGAATGCAAGTGACAGCGCACTGCAAACGCACAGTCCTGCTGTATAAACTTACAGTGTGTTCTGATGTTACGGTGGTTAAAACACTCAATACTCGAGACAGACGTAATCTGCTGTCATTATAACAGTTAACGTGGACAGTGGAGTTTGGCCAGGCTTGACTGACACTATAGTGCCCCTTGCTGTAACGCTCAGAAAGCAGCTTGCACTTGCATTGGTATGAATTGTCGTGACAGATTTTAGAACGCAACAGTGCACTAAAACATGGCTGCGTAGCTCACAGCACCTGCGTTTGTGTGCTTGCATGAAGTTTATTTCTGCCCTTAGAAATCGCTGTCATTGCTGGCACTACCAAACATCAATAACGTTGCTGTTTTCAGTATTTATTTACATTATTTTAAGCTTTGAATTTATTGAATGTTATCAGATATCCACTGAAGCTCTACAAACAGTGGATTTTATAGCCCTACCAACATGTTGTGGTGACACAGAAAATATGTGAGAGAATATATGTAAGAGTACAAATTATGTTCCTCTTTGTTCTTATGATAATATGACCCAAGTGGTGATGTAATATATACACTATACACACCAAGCTCACCCAGCCATGCCTTTATGGGCTGTGCTTTGTGTATTGGGGCTCAGTCATGCTGGAACAGAAAAGGTTCTTCCCCACACTTTTGGAAGTTGGAAGGAAAGAATCATCCAAAATGTCTTGGTCTGCTGAAGCATTAAGATTTCCCTTCACTGGAACTAAGGGGTCCAGGCCAACCCCTGAAAACAACCCCATAGCATTATCCCTCCTCTACCAAACTTTACAGTTGGCAAAATTCAGTCAGGCAGGTAACGTTCTCCTGGCATTCGCCAAACCCAGACTCGTCTATCAGACTCCCAGAGAAGCAAGATTAGTCGCTCCACAGAATGCGTTTCCACTGCACCAGAGTCCAGTGGTGGCATGCTTTACAGGAGCACTCAAACCTTCGCATAAGACAGCATAAATACTAATTTTTTTCATGAGCATTTTCATGCAAGCATAAACAAAGTGACCAGCACTTCAACCAGTTCATTTCCCCCCCAAAGTAGCACCTGATTTTGTTTCTTGTTCTTTTTGGCCTCTTTTATCTCCTCCAATAGATTATTTTTCCCAGAACTACATTGTTCTGAAATCTGATCTGCTTGTTTTTTTGTATAGTGTACCATGTGTCATGTGTCTCTCTCTCTCTCTCTCTCTGTTCATCTATCTCTCTCTGTTCATCTCTCTCTCTCTCTGTTCGTCTCTCTCTCTGTTCGTCTCTCTCTGTTTATCTCTCTCTCTGTTCATCTCTCTCTCTGTTCATCTCTCTCTCTCTCTCTCTCTCTCTCTCTCTCTCTCTCTCTCTCTCTGCCCCGTGTCTTTTTCAAAAGCAAACATGGTCACGTTCTCCTCTGTTTGCTTTTTCTCCGCAGACTCTCAGAACCCTGCCAAAGTGGTGCGCGCCAGTAAGCCCAGATCCAGGAAGTCCAGTAAGGTGAGTAAGGCCTTCTCTGCAAAACACAAAACACACACAGTACCATTAAGGAGCTCAGGAGGAGCTGAACATGGGAAAGAAACATAGCTCTGATTTGAGCTGTGAGCAGTTCTGCAGGGATGTCTGTACTGAGGTGGGCGTGGTTATTCAAATGTATCGTCGCTGTTGTAACAAAACCTGAAATGAAATCTCAGAAATGGTAGCTTATAGGAGGAAACGTTCTTACCTTGAATGTACATTAACATAACAAGATTTTATTCCAAGTAATTTTGGACCACTTCTATTGGTCCATTCATCGTGAAATGTAAAAGACAGCTGCCGCTTATTAAATACAAAAAATAAAAACTGTAAAAGTTACTAGGACCAATATTGCAATTGTGATGTAAATGTGATTATTTTCTTTAAATGAAGCTCCAGGCTTTTTTTTGTTGTGAGGAAGATTAGCACATACATTTTGAGGAGGTTTAGGCCTGAAATCTGGAGTGTAGTGTGCTAGACTGCCAGTTCCGGAGCTCTTTGTTGTCATTAATTTACCTACTTTAAATTTATGACAATTATGAATGTTGTAAGATATAATATAAAGTTCAGCTTTTGCGATTTGAAAATTACACTCTTTCAAACTGTGATTCCGGTCTAAAACAAAATAATCTTTCAGCCCTGGTGTAAAGTTGTCAGAGTTATCAGTAGTGCTTTAAATCACTTGAAATTATCAATGGCCCCAGCAGCATATTACAGGCTTTGAATACTTGCTGATACTTCTGATAAAGTACTCAAATACTTGCTATCAAAATCACCTTAAAATCTACAGTATGTGAAGCATTTTTAGTCATCCATCTGTTGTTGGTGTGGTAGTTTCAGAGCAGCTCCTGCACTGTACTAACGCTGTGGCCGAGTTGAAAGCCATGCAGTTTGTTGCGCTTTGAGGTGAGGCGACGTGGATGCCTGGTGCTAATTTGATGGATTTGACTAAACCATGTGTAATTAATGTATTTTTAGCACTTTCCAGTTATAAATAATAACTATTTTGTCTGAATAGTGATCAAATTTATTTTAGGCTACAGTTTGTGCAATGAATGTTTACCAACATAAAGAATGAATACTTTATCCAAATTTATTTATATAAAATAAAAAAATTAATCACTATATCAACCCAACTGGATACAGACCTCTTCTCATGCTGGCTGCATGCTATAAACAATTGTTAAAGCTTAAAGTGTGATCTTACTGTGTTATGTGAATGCTGTTAATTTAATAACGTGGATATGAATAGCGCTAATGGTTCTAATGCTCGTCGGTAATCTTCTCTGGTTACAGTTTGACTGTGCTGTGTGTGTGTGTGTGTGTGTGTGTGTGTGTGTGTGAGGTAGAAGCCGTGACTCATGTCGGTAATCCTCTCTCAGTTGTGCCTCTGCAGTGACCGGGTCTGCTCGAAGAAAGTGACCTATTGCTATTTGAAACTTGCTTACGCATTAATTGCAGAGTCCAAGGCAGCTGGGTTTTCGAACAGCGCTGTCATCCGAAAATAGCCGAATGTTTGACGAAACATTCAGTGGAGACCAAATAGAGTGTTAACCAAGTGTTAATCACATTATTTTTTAACTCTTATACTAGAAAGATGGATGGAAAGAAACTCCATTAATCCAAAAAGAAATTGCAAGAGTTGCAATGATATAACTGTACAAGTCACAAATGTAAAATACCATTCAGAAGTTACAACTACTTGTCATATTCACAAGTTTTGGTTTCATATAGAATATATTTATTTATTTAGTTAGTTAATTGGTTAATTAGTTAGTTAGTTAGCTATAAAATCTACACTGTAGAATTAGATATTAAACTAAACTCACAACGTATCAAAGGTTTTTATTTTTCAAGTATTTGTAGAAGAACAATAAGTTATTAAATAATACACTGGAAAGAATTCATTTTGATCAAGTTACCTGCCTGGTTTGATCTCCTGGATATTACCATTATTTAGAAATTCTTTCTATCTTATAGTTGTATTATAATTTTATTCCAAATATTAATTTACAGTAACTTTATTCTGGATGTTAATTGTTTGATTCTGGATTTATAATTTTATTATATTTTTATTCTGGATGTTAATTTTATTAGAACTTAATTATGGATATTAATTTTATTAGAACTTTTATTTTGGATATTAATGTTATGAGAACTTCATTTTGGATTTTAATTTTTATTAGAACTTCATTCTGGATATTAATTTCATTAGAACTTTATTTTGGATATTAATTTTTATTGGTATTTTATTCCAGATTTTCATTTTATTAGGACTTTATTCCAGATATTAATGTTATTAGAACTTCATTTTGGATTTCAGTTTTTAATTAGAACTTTATTCTCGATATTAATTTCATTAGAACTTTATTCTCGATATTAATTTCATTAGAACTTTATTCTGGATATTAATTTTATTAGAACTTCATTCTTGATGTTCTGCGGCTTTCTCAATCATTTTTGAATCATCCACAGCTCTGTTAATTGTTCTGGACATTAAACAATTCTTCATTTTTTTGTTATTCATAAACAGCTTCCTATTAATAATTTGCATGGTTTCAAGCATTCTTGTATAATTTATACGTTTATTTGTGAACAAACTGGAAATAGCATTAACATTTAATAGCATTAAAAGTATTGATTCTGAATGGTAGCGTTTAGTATGAAAAACTGTACAATGTAACAAAAAAAAGTTTACAAAATGCCTTATAGTGAATATTGACATACTCAAGTGTAACTTGAGGTAGATGCTGGTATTACGTGTTAACGTGTTTTTTTTTGTTTGTTTTTTTAGTTAAAATATTGAATCATTTTTAGTTGTAGTGTTGTTGTTGTTGTTGTTGTTGTATGCTGTGGTGCACATATGTGGTTAGTCACGGTTTGTTGCCCTGTGTTTTGGGGGGTGGAGGGTCTTCACCAGCATTTATCTGGGCAGAAGTCAGCACTGGCCAATCAGAGGCCAGTTCACTGTGTGTTTGGGTCTGTTTGGGTCCACTGTCTTCTGTGTGGGTGTTTTCTTGGAGAGAACTGTCAACATCAGAGTTTAACTGTTAGCCCTGAGATGTTAGGGAAAATGACTGGGAATGAAAACGTGCAAATATTTGAATTTTGAAAAGAGTTAAGTCTGAAGTTTTTTTTCTCAAACTTAATGAAAATTTTGAGGGTAAATGTCAGAGTGAGTAGGTGCTCTGAATCCATGAATATTTGACTTCTTGAAATAATAATTTAATTTGATTACAGTTCTTAAGTGATGATTGTGTCAGAGATTTATTTTGATATTATTTTTAAAAATAGCCTGTGTGCTTAGTAATCAAGGTATAAATACAGTACAATATACAAATACAATATACAATTTATATACACTAAATATATGGTTGTAGGCAAAGGTTTAGGCACTCTGGTCAAATTCCATGTTGTTGTTGATTTTCTAAGTGTATATAAATTACACAATCTCCACATACAGAGAACACACTTTTGTGAATGTCAGTACACAATTACTATTTATTTACTGAATTTAGCATATTAGCCAAAAAAATCATATGTGAAAAAGTTACAGCACATTTTATATATTTTTTTTCCCCCAAGATGTTGAACTTAGCATATAAATAGAAATTGTGCACAGAATAAGCTCAGATGCCATAATTAAGTGGGTTTCTCTGTGGAGGATGTGTTAAGATGTAATTTGACTGGTGGAAGTTTTGCACACAGCTCTATTAAATTTTATGAACCTCTTTCTAGCTGTTAATTCTACTGTAATTTTATTCTGAATGTTAATTTAATTGCATTCAGAAATCCTGATGCATTTTTACACCCCTATAAATGACGCCATCCTGTAATCCAATACATGTGACCCAGTTCTGCTCTGGAGTGGATTCCTCCTGCAGCGTATAGGAACAGAATGAACTGAATGATCTCTCCTACACGTACACGCACCCCTTACTCCTCTGCTGGGTGAAGGTCTGGTGGTTGTGTTCCTTAACTGGAGATCTGACACCTCATAACCGTGCACATAGTTACCTACAGTGCTAGAAACAGCTGAAATAAGTTTCTAACCTTCTCAATATAACCTTCTCAATCTCAATACGCTGCTCAGGATTCTGGGAATCTGCTTTGCATGGCAGTTTTCGTGGAAAGAGCAGCATTTCTGCTACCTGACAAGCTAAAAAAACTATACTGTTACTTGTGAATGGGGCGGGGCTGAGTGGTCTCCATAGTGACCCATAGAGTGACATGGCCTATCCCACTTCTGCCTACCAGCGGATCCTGTAAATCAACCAAGCTGGCGATTCTATAAGTGTCCTCAAGCATTCCTCTGCTGGAGTCGCTGTAACGGGAGCCCAGCGGGCTCATTTTTCAGAGCACAGAGAGAAATTTATCACCGTCATGAGTCTCTCAGTCTCACTGCACGAGGTTCTCTCACTGTCCAGTAGTCGAAGACCACCAAAGGTCCTCTCTTTTTGAAAGAAATTGTTTGGCAAAAATTCAAATGTCTAGAATGTTCCCCTTTAAACCAGATGTAGTCGATCAGCAGAGACATGTTTGGTGTCTGAAGTTTGTTTCTTTAGTTCTGCGCTGGAGCTAGGAGGCTAATGTAGCTAACAAGCTGAAAGCTTGCTAACTAGCTTAGCTAAGATAGTAGCAGCAGCAAACCGGAGGCCTGAGTTGTGTCCATAATTTAGTCCATATTTAACGATAACAGTGAGTTTTACAGTGTCAGGAGCCTCATAATCAAGTCATTAAAGATTACTGAATTAATCCACACAGTTTGAAGCATGTAGGCATACAGTTAACATGATGCTAACAGATGGCTGTTAGCTTCTATTACTGGTTAGCTACATTAGCCTCATAGCTCCAGTGCTGAAACTAAAGAAGCAAACTTCAGAAACTTCAAACACTGGCTGAACTACTAAGGGGGGATTGTGTAAATCAGATTTATTTCTTTGAAAATCTTTTACAAATGCTTACTGACTCTGACTGATCAGTTTACTGTCCTTCTTGTCCTGTATTAGGCTTAGGCTAATTATTTGAGGTGATCCCATTCGGAGGTGGGCGATATGGCAAAAATCTAATATTGCGATACTTCAGGAAATTTTTGTGGTGCACTATATGTTACAATGTTTATTTTTTTCAGACATCTGATCAGTTGGAACAGAGTCAAAGAACCTACTAGCAAAAACTGATTTTTATTCAATATTTGGCACTAAATCCAGTTAAACTGGTCTGATTTTGCTCTCTTTATAATGAAACATGCAGCTGGTCAGTGTCTACAAGTACTGATGATATACACAATATGTTCAGAAAAGCATATGGTAGTTTATTGTGAAATTTATTACAATAACAATATGGCTGGGCAATATGACAATATAACCCATAATCTCAACTATTTTTGATGATCGCAATTAAGCTGACTGCAGTCATTTTCCACAGGCTTAAGATTTCACAATCATATTTTGCTGCAACAAACTAAATGCGTGCATATTTTTAGCATTTGTGCTTGCAAAAATGAGTGTTTTGTTTTGTTCATATGTTCATTGATAGCTTTGATTGACACAACATAAGATTCTGTGCAACTGTAGACATTTGAGTAAATGGATAGATGGCTAATTGGCTAATTTGGCCTCTTTAAGTGTGTGTTTTAATAGTTGCATACAGTGAAGCAAAAAACACCATTAAATTATTAATTGCAGTTATTTATGTGGCAATAAAATTGTCTGCTAAAATTTTATAATCATGACAGCTCTAATTAGGCTGAAGTCTTGGCCCAGTTTGTTCTGGTTATAGGACTTTTGTGGCTCATTAAAGACGCTTTCTGCTCTAAAACTAGCATTTAATACATGAACTGTTGTTTTATGTAATAGTCTGTTGTCTAGCATTGTTTTCCATGTCTTTATCTTTCAGACAGAATTCACAGTTTTGTATTCTGTTTGTATTTTAATCCATCTGTGTTCACTTACTACACTATCCATCATGCATTACACAGATATCCTACAACCACTGGCAATCCCCGCAGACGATAAAGAAATACAGAATGCTAGGAGAGCCTCTGAACTACATGCTAATATATACAGACCTCTTCAGCTTCCTGGTAGTAATGTTAGTCATCTAGCTTCCTTCTGTTTTATCCAGCTAGCAGAAATTCAAATGACAGCCAAAAATCCAGACATAGTACTTGTAGTTTTTCAAAAGTTCCACCCACCTTCGATATGCCTCATTAGAAGGGTTTTTCCTACCATTCAAACCAGAAAATCTCATTTTAGAGATGCTGCGGGGTCATTGTGGGAGGAGAGTAGGCTTGTTCACAACAGTGATTCTTTTTTTTTCTTCTCATGTTTTTCCCTCTTCTTCCTTGTCCAGTCAAGTGACTTCAGTGACATCACAAACTGGCCTACTCCTGGAGAAATAGCCAACAAAGAGGTGAGAAGAACAGATTTGTGCATGCTGATTGGATGCAATATCTTTGAGTTTTGGTCCCGTATTTCTTTCTCTGTTTTTTTCCCTTTTTACTTGAGACTCTTTATATTATCACTTTTGACATTTTAAATCATCTTAAAGGGGAATTCCATCAATTTCCCAAAATTGCACCATAATTCAGTCTGTGAGATGTAAACAGTCATTTAGAGTGGTTTGGTATGAAATGGTTCAGAGGTCTTTACAGTGGTGGTGATAGGAACCAGGGGTTGCCATGACTACAGCACAAATATAAACATTTTATTTACTATCCAAAACCACCAGTGAACCTACACGTGTCTTCTGAGTTTTTACATGTATGTTAATTGTGGTAAAACAGCACAGTGAATTCATAACCATTTCATGTAATAACTTTCTGGGAGGGAGCTTTCAGAGGTGGACGTCTGGTTCCTATCACCACCACTGTGAACAATTCTGACAATTTTAATATGTGAATCCAACCTGTATGAAAACTAAAAACAGGTTTTTAACTCAAGCCCTGAAGAGCTGGAGCACATTTTAGTGTCTTTCTGCTCAGAATGACCTCATTCAACTCATGAATGGCTTAAAGGAGTAGTTTGGCAAAATGTCAGATTTCCCCGATTTCCCCCTTACTCCAGATATTCAGTGTCCAAAGTTTGCTTCTTTAGTGCTTTTGTCCATTTATAGAGAGCAGTACGTCATTCTGTCTACTAGAGTTCACTGAACAGCTCCACACTGTTTGAGGCAAGTGATGATTTAGGCATGCAGTTAACATTGTGCTAATTGGTGAGGTGTAAGCTTCTACACACTTAAAAAGATGATTCTTCAAGGGCTGTTTAGTAAAGAAAATGGTTCTATATAGAACCATGGACACTCAAAGAACCCTTTGCTTGATAAAAGGGTTCTTTGTATCATGAAATGGCTCTTCAGATTGATGGAGAATGTGTTGTAGATGGGTCTATATAGAACCTTTTTTTTTCTTCTATTGTTACAAGCTTGACATTGTAACAATAGAAGAACCCTTTTGGTGCTATATAGAACCCTTATCAAGAAGGTTTTATGTAGAACTGTACACAAGACATTCTTCTCCAGTCTTTCATGATGCAAAGAACCCTTTAATCATGCCAAGCGTTCTTTGAGTGTTCATGGAACCCTTGAAGAACAATCTTTTTTAAGAATGTAGTTGTTAGCTACATTAGTTTTGAAGCTAACTTTGGACTCAAAATGAGTTTTAATTTTGGCAAACTGTTCCATTAATATATTTTTATTGTGGTGTAATTAGGTGTACCGCTCATTAAGCACCGGTTTTGTATCATTGTTGTCCAAATCTCGAAAGTGGTGCTTACAGGAGAAAGCAAAAGCTTTCTTTGCTTTTCATCTACGCCTATGTAATGAGATTTTTTGCTTCCCCCAAAGTCAGTTCCAGCCAATTCTTTTGGTCTATTCATCATGAAATTTTGACATGTTGTAAAGGAGAGCTGATGTGCTCAAATGATGCATAAAAATAACAATTTATTTATTTTTGGGCAGCAATGGTATGCCTGCTGTCATAAAACTGGAATTCCAAGGTCTAAACTGAGTGTAGATTAGTGCTATGAGAACATTTAAACATCTCATATAAGAACATATTCAGTTTTCTAGCCTTTAAAAAAAAAAAGATTCCTACATTCCTCTGAATGGAGTCAGCTGCATTTAACTCTCAAGGCCACTCTGCTTGTTACTCTGCAGAGAAATGCAGCTCTTACTGTAAGACTGCTTTAAAACTGCTGCCCACCTGGTTTTACTTGCTCAGGTGATGATGCGGGGCCTCTTACCTGTAGCCTCAAGCAAGGTGGAGTGAGTGTCACTTAGAGCGCAGTTCCAGACTTTTGAGATTTTTGTAGTGATGTCTGGATAGAACACAGTTTTACTGTGGAATCTGGCTGGTTTTGACGTGTTTTAAAATATTCTGTGACGCTAAGGGTGGACATGGTCATTTGAAAGTACATCTGGGCTTATTTACATATTTAAATATTCAATGAACGAATGCGACGTCAGTATCGTGAAGGCCGATTAACAAATGATTATATTATGCGGCTCCTGACCTGAGAGGTACTGATTAGTGATTGGTTGTTGAAACCCCCCAGCAGCAGCAGAACGTGATCAACGCGCAGGGCCGGAAGCCGACGGTGGGACGGAGGGAGAGAAGGAGGGATCGTGGAGGAGAGAAGAGGGAGAAGGAGAGCGGCAGTGATGGAAGTGACAGTAAAGAGAACAGGGAGGCGCAGCAGGAGCCGCTGACACACCTCCCCACCGAGGAGGGGAAGGAAACGGGCAAAGAGACGCAGAACAGCGCCTCCCGCAGGAGGGGAGGTCAGATATATGCATGCATATGCATAACAAACATGACAACAATCAGTGATTTCCACAGTCTGGCTGCATATCTGATGCCAAATATTTCATGTTAGAGTTCAGTTTGATTATAATTATTTTGCAGAGATTCTGTGTTTTTTGTAATATACTTAATACATAAGGTACTGTTTGTACAGTAGAGCAATACAGGTATTAATAAACAATACACCAGGCTTTTATCATTAATTTATATGGAAAAAAATGACTGCTTATTTCATGTAATGTTATTATAATCAATTATAATTGGGGTTGGGTATTGAAATACCACACTTTTATGGTACCCACCAAATTACATCAATATCACAAATTCCATGTGTTTCCATTATGAAACACCTGAGCAGTCGCATTATATTCCACAAGCAGAAAAAACACCCATTTCCAGCACCTCACATTCATTTCTGGTTTAAGCCATTCCCACTTTCCGTCTGCAGTTTTAAAGAAGGTATGTAAAAGTATTGTTTAAGTCAGTACATCTGTGTTAGTATTTTAAAGCATACCCAGCCCTAATTAGAAACATAAGTACTTATAACATTACAAAATCATTTTTGCCACTTGGTCACTTTCACAATTAGGCTTGTTACAGTTACTAACTAATCGCATAACTGCATTTATTTTAGATGCTCTCAGTCATTTCAGCTTATCATAACCTCTTCCAGAGTCACATATTTACTTTTCAACAAACGGATGCTTTCATCCATTGGGTTGAGGCAAAAGCAAATAAACAAAAGAAAGTAGAAAACATTTATTGACACATCACATGTCTTACAAAACAAGAAGAAACTTCTAGCTTGGCACTTTAATGTCTTTAGAGAGCAAATCCTCATGTCTCCAAAATGCTAAGTAAAGGAGAAGGAAAAAAACCTCCCCAGCTCTAATGTAAGTTAATGTAACTAGACTTTTTGTCAAGCAATTTTAGAACGTTTGATTATGAAATTTACTCAAAATGTAAAGAGCAGCTTGCATTTTTAAATTATGTGAAGAAATGAAAAACAGACAGAAATGGATACGCAAGGTTTTGTTCTGACAGTGGTGTTTAATGATGTTCCCCGGGGCAGTGTTTCCCAGCCTGGTCCCCCACTCTGCACATTTTAATGCTTTTCCTGCTCCAACACGCCTGACTCAACTCATTAGCTAATTGATTAGCCATGCTAAAACGTGCAGAGCCGGGGATAGGATTGTTACACACTCTCCCAATGACTATAGAAATAAATGGAATTAAACAAATGAATCCAAGTTCAGTTAATAATTACTACGTTAAAGTAGTATGTAGTAAGTTTGTAGTAGAGTAGTAAGTTTGAACACACCCAGCCAAGTTATATGTTTTGTTGAATTTTTTAATTGAAAATAATATATATATACTGTAGCTGGTTATGCTCATGCCAGTAAAGCGTACTGAACTGAATTCATTCATTCATTGAGGGTTAAGCCGTGCAGAGCTACTGTCTCTAGTTTAAAGGCCATGCTGGTGGGGGATGTGGTGTGATGGGTGTCATGTTGCAGCAGAGCTGGAGCTGAGTTGTGGAGTTAGTTCATGTCTCCGAGCAACAGGGCCGTCCACAGCGCTGCTGTCCGACTGTCCAGCTCTGACTGCCAGAGAGAACTGCTGACTGCATTCAAAGTGTTTTTTTATTACAGAATAATTAAATATTGATTATAATTACTTTTTAATTTTATTACTAACTCTACCTTAATTTTGAGCTAAAAATTCTGATTAACTGATATCAACTAATGTAAGTTGATCAAGTCATGGAACAGGTTTTAAGTTTCAAATGGTCTTACTTAATAATTTTTAATAGCATTAATGTCATTAATGATAATATATAATACTGTCCAATAGGCAGCGTCCACCCTTCATTAATTTAATTTCCAATCAAAACAGTCATTAAGCACAGGTTATTATATTTATTAAATAAACAAGTCATTTAAATTTATTCCAGCTTCCATTCTTTTTAGGAGACTCGCTTTCAGACACATCTGCAGACACACCTCTAAAGTTCAGTCTTAGAAGTTGATCATTTTCTGAAGTAATCGAACACCTTCAGTGATGTTCAAGTCTGGACTCTGGGGTGGTCAGTCCATCATTTAGTTTCTTTGTTTGATTATTTCAGGCTGGAGGAGGGAGCGGGACTTCTTCGACGATGCGTCCAGTATCCGCAGTGAGGGCAGCAGTGTCCGTGGCAGCCTCAGGGGGCGTGGCAAAGGTCGCGGCAGGGGCAGAGGTCGCGGCCGAGGTAGGCACGCCGTCACTGTGGCGACTGCTTAATTTGTCGCTGTTCTAATTTTCTGTTCGTTATTGATAATGGGAGCATGCAGGGAGCTGTGTGTGGATGTTGAGAAAACCTGCATTTGTAAGCAGAAGATGCGTTATTATTAGAAATAGATAAAAAGTTGCTGTGCATAAATGTAAACATGATCATTACACAACTGGGTAATTCATTGTTTTTGAAGGAGTGGTTCAGTGGAAAATCTTAATTTACACAGTTTTCCATTTATGTCAGATTTAGTCAATCAGCTGGATGTGTTCGATCCAAATTTAGATTCTTTAGTTTAGCCCTGGTGCTATAAAGCTAACATTGCTAACAATAGAAGTCAGTAGTCACCCAAATCTTTTCTGTAAAAACATCCACAAAACTTATCTCAGCCTGCTCAAACCTCATCCAGCTCTTCATTAATTGTTGATGTAGTTCAGCACACAAAATTACTCACTGTGAGCTTTAAACTGAACCAAAACCTTACTGTGTAGCTCAGAGCTGTGGGCAGCCAAATGTGTTGTGCCGGATTGTGCTTCCCCTTCACTTAGTATGGACTCTGGATTTCTGTTTCTTTCATAAGCGTATATCTTCACTTTGAACATCAACAGTTATTTCCAAAACAAAAAGAAAACGCAAATGTGTTGTGTACATATAACACAGTTGTCTAAGTGGCTGCCTGCTGCATTCAGCTACACGGAAAAGTTTTGTTCATGTTTACAGCTCAGCGTAAGTCATACTGTGTGCTAATCTACATGTCTGTGCCACCTTAATGAAGACCTGGTTGCAGTTTGGGCAGGCTGAGAAAAGTTTTGAGGATACATTTACAGAAACGATTTGGGTGACTATTGACTTATAGTGTTTGTTAGCAATGTTAGCCGGTGCAAAACTAAAGAAGCAGAGTTTGGATACCAAACATGTCAGCTACATCTGGGGTAATTTGAAAATTGTAAATATTGTGTACATTTGTTTTATTGCTAAAACTTTAAACAGTATAGCAAAACAACACTAATAGCTGTAGATTTCTTGTTGCTAAACTACAACATTTAGAAAAAATGTTGGACCATAATATGTCCTAAGATGGGACATCTTTAAAGGAACACATTTCTCTGCTTGTCTACTCACAACAGCAGACTTATCAGACATGAGATAGAGATGCAGGTAACAGAAAACACTGAACCTCTGAAAGTGTAACCAGGATGCTTTAGTAAGGCAGGCAGCAGGCATCGCAGAATAAAGCCACTAATAAAAAATAGTGTGAATTATGAATAAACAGCAAGAAATGTGATATGTGATGTTAGAATGAGTGCAACCTAGTGTTAAATATGTTTGTTATATTCTGTGATTTATATTATATTGTGTGTTTTTAGTGGGAGCTCAGTGTATGTTTAGTATTGTTTGCCAATGAATTGTTTGCCAATGAATTGTTTGCTAATGAATTGTTTGTTTAAGAATTGTTTTCCAGCACATTGTTTGCTAATGAAGCGTTTTCTAATTAATTGTTTGCTAATGATTCACAGGACCGTATGCACCTCTCTCTCTTTCTCTTCCTCTCCGTCCTCCAGGTCGCTATGACTACTCCCATAGTTACAGGGATTCCTACCTGGATGGGTCCTCTGTGCCCCAGGAGTTTGGCACTAATATGATGTATTTCTATGACGACGGTAACCGGATACAGATGTACACCATAGAGGAGAGTCTGCTTAAAGAGTACATCAAGCGCCAGATGTGAGTAAACCTCCAGCTAGTCTGTACTTTTGTTTTTCCTGTTTTCTTTTTTTCTTTTCACTGAACTCACTTTGTTTACCCACCTACCCCAAATCAAGCTCAACCAAGACACGTTTGATGTCTGACATTTGCCTCTGCAGGGCTAAAGTAGCTAACAAGCAGTAGTAACCTATGTAAACCAATTAGCACAGTGCTAACTGCAAGCCTTATCATCACTCGCCTGGTGGTTTCTGACACTGCGTGAGAGACTGTTATCTATAAACAGACGTATGGATAAAATTCAGACTTGCTTTCGACTAAATATCTTTGAGATTGTTAATGCCTTAATTTAAAATGTTGCATCTTAAGAATTATAGTAGTTATGTAGGGAAAAAGTGCAAGGCTACTGTTAAGTGTTTCAGAAAGAGTAACGAATTACAGACAACCCTGCTAATTTGTACTAATTTAACACATTGCGCACTTCATTTCAAATCTATGCTACTTCAAAGCTGCTTGTAATGTATAATGCGATAAAACCCAGAGCTTGCTTTCACACAGCACATAATCTGCTTATGTTATAGGGCTGCTCAAAGTGTGGCAGTAGGCCCCTGAGAATGTTTAATTTGGCCCACCAGAAAGTTACGCTAACCCAGAATAATTATATGTTATACTATATGTAAATTATTAATTTCTTATTTTCAATTAAAACAGTGTTTTTGAGATATATTGCAATGTTATAAAGTACATTTAAAAAAAGAATGATTTTAGGCATTCCTACCTTGTTTGTTTGCATACTGTTTGGTGGCCCTAGGCCCATAACAAAAATTGCACTTCGGCCCCCCGAGACAAAAAGTTTAGGCACCCCTGCTGTAGATGCTACCAAGCAGAACGGCTGGTTTGAACAAATACATTGTAGTGTTTTGAAAATTGAATGGTTTGATATCACCTTTTGAGATTTGAGATAAAGCTATGTAATACAAATTGCCACCAGAAGGTGGAGCTGCTATTACATCAGCAGGAGAGCATGGAATCATATGTGTGTGTGTTTGCGTGTGTGGGCGCACACGCTAAACTTAGCATTTCTGCCTAAGGAGGGGGACTGTAAATGATCTGAGGTGGGAAGTGATGGGTCAGTGGTGTGTCTATACATTTGTGCGTGCATATTTGTCTATATGGGTCAGTGACATGATGTGCATTTCAAGTAATATAAAACTAAATACATCACATCTGTCACATTACCTCATAATACCTCCTTTATGTAAATGTGCAGTGCATCAAAATAAAATTCATTTAGGCATAATATAGTCTAAAAATATCAGATGGTGTGGCTATTCAACCGTATATGCAGATAATGTGAACTGTTAAAAAGTGTAATTTTCTTAATACAAAATTCAAATTATGATAGTTTAGCATGGTTTTATGTTTAAAACCTTTAAAAGCAAAACATGTTGAAAAGTAGGACAACAGAAAGGTTTTACATTTAGAGCCAGTTATTCATTCAACCTAGTGAGAAACTTATATCCTACTCTGAGTTTTAGAATTGCGATATAAGTGTTAGGTGGTATGAACTGAGTCGTGTTCTACAGTTTCTCATTATGTCATCTTTCCATGCGTTCTATAAAGCGAACTGGTTCAGAAACAAACACGTAGAGTCTCTCTTTACTTAATTTGATTTATTCTTAAACTCACACCCATCAGCACACCACCCTTAGCGTAATCCAGAGTACACACGTATCCTGGATACATGATTTAAGAGACAAAAGGTTTTGCAATGCTGAGTGTGGATCCTATAGCTCCACCCAAAAAGACGCCAGTCCCATCTCATTCCTGCTGAGACAGTCATAGTTTGGCAAAAAGTCAGTTTTATCGTATTTCCCACCTCTCACCTTAAATGTAGTTGATCAAGCCATGTTTGGTGTCTGGAATTTGCGTCTAGTTTTAGCACTAGAGCTACTAGGCTAACAAAGCTAAGAATACTTTACATCCATCACATTATTCTAGAATACCTCCTTTACAGTCCATTAAAATAAAATTTATTTTTTTCATGCATTTATGCATGATATAGTCTAAAAATGTCAGATGGAGTGACCATCCGACTGTATATGCAGATTATGTAAACGGTTAAAGTGTAATTTAGTTATTGAAAATTCAGATTATCATAGTTTAGCATGGTTTCACGTTTGAAACCTTTAAAAGCAAAACTGCATTTAGTCAGTTATTTGTTCAGCCTAATGAGAAACTGTAGAACAGACTCAGTTTATATCACAATACCTACATTTAGAGTCAGTTATTCATTCGACCTAATGAGAAACTGTAGAACAGACTCAGTTTATATCACAATACCTACATTTAGAGTCAGTTATTCATTCAGCCTAATGTGAAACTGTAGAACAGACTCAGTTTATATCATTATACCTACATTTAGAGCCAGTTATTTATTCACAAAAGTGTATTGTGAGGTAATTTATCACAATAACAATAAATACTTTCAATTAAATTAGATTTTTCTCTGAACTGTTGCTTTAACACTGTCTACATGATTTCACCTCTTTGGGTGGGGACTTTAGTTGCTGTGATTATGGGATATCTGTATACAAATCTCTTTCTATAACTGTTCTACGTGTCTTATCCAGCTCTTTTTCAGGCATTCTGGTTTAGCAGGTCTTCCTCTGTGTGATTCGTGTGATGTTTCTATTGCTTAACTACAATATATAGCCTGGAGGAAAGAGAGAAGGTGAATGAGGAGGAGTAAGAGAAAGTGGTGGGAGTGTTATAGATATTACACCAAATTTAGTCAGTCAGCCAAGACATTTTTGGTGTCTGAAGTTTGCTTCTGTATTTTTAGCAGTGGAGCTACAAGGCTAATGTTGCTAACAAGTACTGAAAGCTTATACCCCATCAGTTAGCATCATGTACACTGCATGTATAAATCATCTTGCACTTGCTGCAAACGATGTGAAGGTGTTCAGTAATCTCTAACAGACTAATTTACAAATGGTCAAGACTTCCGCATGACTTGCAGGGAGGAGGACTGTGAGAAAGAGAGAAGTGTAAACCACACAGCTTGACCACAAAATGTTCTCAAGATGAAGAATAACTGTTCTTAGTAGAACCTTCAAAGTCTAAATCAAAGATGCGTGTCATGCCTCTCAGGAACTGATCAATGTTTTGGATTGTCTAGATTGTTTGAATGGGTAACATGCCAAATAAATGAGTAACAGACCAAATGTGAACTTTGATTGCATAATGCAGCCGTTGTTCATTTAATATTTATTTATTTGTAATATGGTCTCTTTCTCACCGCAGATTTGTTAGTCAGAGCAGGCAGTCTCACAGAGGACATGAATGTATGCTTTTCACTTCCAGTTCCAAAGCACTGCACATGCTGTTTAGTGTTTTCACCAAACTGTATCTTTCATTGTAGCTCACTAGCTCATTACCAAGCTCTTCACAGATTAAATCAGGCACGTTGAAGCAGGAAAAACTAAAAACTGAACTCAGTAATCCAGCTGCCTCTGGGACTGGCTCTTAAAGGTGCTATAGTTGTTATAGTTGTATAATTGTTCTCTGAGGTCTACACAGAAGGTATGTGACTTTGATCGGGGTGAAAAATGACCGGATTTAGTTTCATATGCTCATCTACAGCCCTATGATTTGGCCCTAGAACAGGGGTCGGCAACATTCGGCTCTTTTACTGCCCTGTTGCGGCTCCACCTCAGAATTAGATTTTTAGGTAGAAATAAAATAATCCTCCTTTGCAGTAAAATTAAGCTCTGCTGAGCGTTCAACACTGTTTTAACAGTAAATGGTCTTAAACACTGGAGTTAATGTAGAACTGCTATTTCACCCTTTATCGCTGAAGGTTGTCACGCAGACTGTTGGTCACTGTAGCAACACAGACAACAATCTCGCCTAGCTAGTAGCCAATGAAAAGACAAAGAGAAAGATTTAAGACGAACATCAATAATTTGGAGATGGATGGACTTATTTGCATTTATAATCACTCCAGCTGGTTTCCTAATACGTTTAATCTGCATCGAGAAACCGTCAAACGCTAAAAGGTCACGAGGCTAAAGTCAGTTTCTCATTTTCCAGCTTTGAATTTTCCCTTGTGGCTCCCAAGGTGGTTAGATAGGAAAAAATGACTCTTCTTAACATTTGGGTTCTTAACCCTGCCCTAGAACTAAAAGAGCTGTTTTCCCTTTTTTGGGGGGCTAATAAATATTCTGATGAGCTCTGCTCTGATTGGCTGATATGCTGGCTTACACAGAAGCAACATGACGAAATAGATACAGACAGGAAAATAAAATGAACTTCTGTATAAATAAGCTGGTCCTGATATTGTTTAGTTAGCTATGCTGGTTGCTGTGAGCTTGCTAGTGTCTAACACTAGCTATACTAGCTACTCGCTTTCGATCTCGACAACAACACAAAGTAAATTAAAGTCTCACTATGAAACTCTCGGTTTAAGATGATCTGCTTAAACTGTTAAAAGTAATAAAATTTCACAGAACGGCTGCTTACAGGCTGATGTTGGAGTTGTGATGCTAATAAAAGTGGAACTGCATCTCCGTCTCTTCAGGGTCAAACGCTGAGCGACGCTGCTCGATATCGTCCAAGCTTTGAGAAACTGTCCGGAGTGAAGTGTGCAGAGTAAACTAACAACTTTGAATTAAAGCTGTCTGAGATACTGTTAAAGATGTGGGAGCTGAAGTTGGCTTCCTATTCGCCATCTTGTTTTGTGAGTTCCTTTCCACCTTAAATGGTGCCGCAGTTACTTTCTGGTGTCTGTACAAGCTGTAGCATTTAAGGTGGAAAAGAACATTCGATTAAGAAGCTGGCGAGTAGAAAAACCAGCTTTAGCATCATTTAAAGATGAACATCAGCCTGCTGACGGTTCGGTTCTTGTGAAGGGAATAGAAAGTGCTGACGTTGCTGTTGCTATGCTGCTGTTGTTTCATCATATTGTCCACTCCTGGTGCAAATTACACTTTTTTTTCTCTGAACTTTAAAACTGTCTACCTGATTTCAGCTGTGTGGGTGTAGTTGCTACTATTATGGGATATCTCTATACGAATCTCTCTGTAACTTCTCCACATCTTTTATCCAGCTCAATTTGAGACACTCTGGCCCAGCATGTCTTCCTCTGTGTGATTTATGTGACATTCTTTTTGCTTAACCGCAACATACGGCCTGGAGCAAAGAGAGATAGTAAAGGAGGAGGGGAGAAAGAGAAAGTGGTGGTATGGTGGTATAGATATGGATGAATGGGTCAGTCAAAAAGAGAGAAAAATAAAAGCTGTCTTGGATGGACGTGTGGGCGAAAGGTTAATGACCGGAATGGAGGTACCAGAAGGGTGATTTTTTTTTTTGTGTCTCTGTTCAAATAAGGTTCATTTTGACAGATAGGCCTGTCACAGTTACATTCTTACAGTTATTGGAGCTAATCGCAGTTGTTTTCTATAGCTGTTACATTTCACAAACATACGTTTATATCACGGCAATCAGAATTGATTTATTGAGGGGTTAATGGAAGTAAAAATGCAGAAATGCATTTATTGAGAAAAATCATGGGTCATACAAAAACAACAAAAACTTCTAAGTTGATGCTGTAACATGTTTAGATGGTGGTTTAAAGGAAGGTTTGTGTGTTTGATACGTAGCTAATCAGCTAGATTGGCCATTTTAGGCTTGAACTTTAATATAGTTTCCAAAAAAAAGACACATTGTTCATTGCAATTATTTATAAGCCAATATGTATTGATATATAGTTTTATGATTGTAACAGACCTTTTGGTAGATGTATTTTTTCGTTGGAAAATGTGTGGAATTTTTAAATGTATAAATTGTTTGCTTGTTTTTTTTTTTTCCAGTGAGTACTACTTTAGCTTGCACAACCTGGAGCGGGACTTTTTCCTGCGGAGAAAGATGGACACCAAAGGTTTTCTGCCCATCTCTCTGATCGCTGGCTTCCGCCGTGTCCAGGCCCTGACCACTGACATCAACCTCATCATGGAGGTGACCTTTTGCCCTGACCTCTAATACTGACAGCTGTTGCATGTTTCAGTTGTCCCAAAAAAACTTCCTTTAATTTATTTTTGAATTTATTTTTAAGTACATAGTATCCCAGGATCAATAATAGCTTTTAAATAAGTAAGTATTGAGTAACCTATTAATGATAGATTAAGAATAGATATGTGTATGAGACATAATACGTTTGTGTGTTGATCTCCAGGCGGTTAAAAACAGTGATGTGGTGGAGCTGGTGGATGAGAAGATCAGAAGAAAGGAGGATCCAGAGCACTGGCCCATCCCCGGACCCCCTGTGGACTCCCCTCGCACAGACTTCACCCAGCTCATCCACTGCCCTGAGTTCGTCCCAGGACAAACCTTCACCTGCCTCAATGCAGGTACTGCTTTGAGCTGTTTCATTTGGTTTAGTCTCAGTGCAGGAAGCAGGACTGAGTGCAAGTACAGTCCACTATATACAGATATACTCAGTATAAACAGGATAAAACTAGTATTAGTATATTAGTATATCAATGTGACACTCTTAATATTAGTGTATTAGTATATAATTAACATATAAACGTGATACTCTGATCTCTTTTGACCCTGTTACTTTGTGTCTCTGGTCATATTGAGCATGATTCATCATTTAGTAAATTCTTGTTTTCCTGTAATCTTCCATGAAAATGTTGAGTTTTGCTCCACCTCTAAAACCTTTTCTGATTTTTTTTTTCATAAGTACATCACCGTGCACCAGAGGGTGGGGCAAAATAATATTATCCAACAATACATTTCACTTTCTCCTCATACCACCCACACCTATTGTGGAGAGAAAAAACATATTACACATGCTGCATATAGTTACTTGAATAGGCAATTCCAAAATTTGGCTGCTCCTTGTCAATTAATGTTTTTGTTGATTTGTTTTTTGTTGACATTTTGCTGGGTGAAAAACAGTTAACACATCATCTGCAACAAGAACATTTTAATGTACAATTACTGTTGAACATAATAATGATAATAATAATAATAATTAATGTTTACTTGTATAGCACCTTTCATACATTAAAATGCAGCTCAAAGTGCTTCACAATACAAAGCAAAAACAGTGGGAGAAAAAAGATAATCAAAAATAAAATAAACAAGTAATAAGTAGTAGAAAAGGAGATGTATTAATAATTACAATCGAAAAGCACAGGATAAAAGTATAAATAAAAAAAGAAAAAATACAAAAAATGCAACTAACAAGAAAATAAAAGTAATAGTAATATTCCAGTAAAAATAAAAGAAACAAAAAAAGACATATTGGGAAAAATAAAAAAAAACATAAAATGTGGCTGGTGCAAAAGTTATAGCATGTGTTTTTACTGTAGTACAGCTATAATAACTATATTATAACTGCAGTGCTGGTGTACGCAGCCTACAGAAGGTGCTGAAAGCCATTTAAAAGCTGTACGCTAACAAGAGGGCTACAAACAAGGATTCTGTCAGAGCAGCATACAGCGCACTGCAGCTGGGCTTCAGCCTGCACTACTGTGACTGGTTTGAATGGTCAGACCAGGGAAATGCATTTCATCAATGTTTAGACTTTGACAGTCCTAGTTTTTATGCTGCTTTTTGTCACCAGACATTGACCATAAAACCAGTCATTCGTCCCGTCCACATTTCTTAGAGCTAGAGTCTCAAAAACCACAGACAAAAGAAAGAAATGATGAGCACACATACAGAAAAAGCCACCACATTCACCTAGTTCGTCTGCCTTTTCAGGCTCAACCTCCCCAACCAATCAGATCACAGTCGAGCCCACCCCTGCCACAAACGGCCAATTAAACGGCAGCTCCGATACCGAGGCCAAACCCAACTCCAGCGAGTCGTCCGAAGCGGAGTCCAAAAGTGTGTCCAAGGCGGAAGAGAGGACCCCTGCTGGGCTGTCCAACAGCGTGCCTGATGCAGAAACTCTTTCGGGGCCTGTCCAGCAGTCTGCCTGACCGCGAGAGCCAGTGGATCCAGGTGGAGAAACGGCACAGGAACACCTCCGGGAAGAACAAGGTAGAGACACACACGCAAGTATAGAGGCACTGAACTGTTCTCCATGTGTTTTTAGTTTAGCTTTTGTTTCAGCTCAGTTTAAGAGATTGAAGTTATTTGGCAAGAGAATTAAATTAACCCCTTAAACTCTAAGGGTCTGTATGTGAGTCTAGACCTCAATTCCTCACTCATAATGGCAGAAAACTGTACGGAAATACGTTAGGCCTTGTTCACACAGCAGGTAAAAGTAGCCCAAATTTCCTCTCCAAATCTGATTATTTTGTTTGGCTGTTCACAATATCTTTTAAATGTGTCCTGTATGCGACATTAGTCTGAACAGACCAGCTCCTAAACTGACCCACATGTGCAAAAGAACAATGCTTCACTTTGCTTCACGCGGCTCATTCAGAGGTAAACAATCATGACTTCCAACGAGCGCCAGTCGCTCCCGGAGGGTTTAGTTTCATCTTCACTGGCGTCACAGGAGCAATCATGAAGCTTCACTGACCCACAGCTGGGCTCATCACCCAGGATGTGTTTTGTAAAATGTCCTCGGATTCTTTAAACTTTGCTTTCAGACTTTTTAACTGTTCTTTGACGCTGCAGCCTCGTTCTCCTCCAGCCGCGTTTGGACATTTCTTTCAAAATCTCTTCAAACACAGAGCGGTTTGGATAAACGCCTTCTAATTTTTTGGTGCTGAAACATCAGCCTAAATGTTTGAGATCTCAGCTGCGCAAAATTATGAAGAATGTGGAGCTGGATTGACATAAAAGTTGCATAATTTCCATTTGCATTGCCGCATATTGAATACGTATCAGATTTCAGTACCACATATGAAAGTGTCTCAAATCAGACTTGAAAATGTTAGATTCAGTGTGTTTTTGCTGTTCACGTTTGAAGAAAAAATTGGATTTGGGTCACTGTTACGTGCGGTGTGAACAAAAAATGTATTTAAAAAAGCAAATATTGAAATGGTAACTAGGTTTTGCACAATAAAACTGTGCCTCTGTGGCTTTTTTGGGAGGTTGACATACCATGTCAGGTTTTATAAGGTCACTATTAACTATTCTGCGTAAGGACATACTACTTTAAAATGAAATTGGTATGAAATGGTGTTGCTCTTGCTCTGCAGATATTTTCCTATCACACATTTTCATCATCTTAACCTCAATCATAACTCACTGTTCTGTGTCTGTCCTCATGTCTCTGCTTATAATTAATCTGTTCTCTTCATTTCTCATTTCCCTTCTTCTCTTTTCATTCTGTTCTCTCCTGTGCTTCCTAAGCCACCTGTCATTCTTCATCATCTTTCTCCTGTTCCTCAGCTTGAGCCTTCCCCTGTAACAGTTGAGTATCCTCCCTCATGTGTTTCTGCTTTTTCCTTTTTTATTCCTTCGTTCATTGGATGCTTTATGATTGTGTTTTTAGAAAAAAAAAATAGGAACCAGATGTGTCCATTCATCTTAATGCATTTCAGTGATTTATAAAGCTCAAAACTGCAGCTGTGTACATTTTCATTGTAAACAAGTATCCAAGACTAAATCTTAAAGATGGATTTAGTTGGAAGAAAAAGAAATTAAGCAAACAAATATTATATCAAATAAAATAATTTAAAAAAGAAGTGTTGAATGAGTCCAGAATGATGAACAGAGCTGTAGTAGATTATAAAATAATGAGAAAACTGTAGAACATCACAACTTCTAATAAAGTTTATATCCAGAATAAAGTTCTAATAAAATTAATATCCAGAATGAAGTTCTAATAAAATTAATATTCAGAATAAAGTTCTAGTAAAATTAATATTCAGAATAAAGTTCTATTAAAATTAATATCCACAATAAAGTTCTAATAAATTTAATATCAAGAATGAAGATATAATAAAAATTATGTAGAATAAAGTTCTAACAGAGGTAAAAATCTCAATTTATTAATAATATAGTTGCTAGGGATGTGGGAAAAAATCGATTCTTAGATGCATCGCGATGCGGACGTGAACGATTCTGAATCGATTCACAAATGTCAAAAATCGATTTTCTAAATATTTAATTTTAAAAGTAGTCTTAAAAGTAGACCAGTTTCTTGTAAAATGTCTCTCATCGTTCGACTGTTTTATGAGGCTGAAGTTGCTTCTCATTCTCCAGCTTCTTGTTTGAATTTTCCCGTTCCACCTTAAATTCTGCCTGAGGCGCCGAATGTAAATGCGGCACCGTTTAAGGTGGACCGGGACAATTCGAAAGAGAAGCAACTTCATCTTTGCGACTTTTAGTGTTTGACAGTCTCTCGTTGCAGATTTAACGTACCAGGAAATCAACTGCGCTGCTTAAAATTGCAAATAAGTCCATTCATCTCCAAATGTTCATCTTAAATTGTGCCTTTTCGTTCACTACTACCCAGGAGAGACATCGTTGCTGTCTGCAGGCCAGTTCTCAGCCGTTGAGAACCGGGGCTTTCGCGCTATGTTGCACACGCCCCGTCTCAAAAATATTTTATTTACACAGAGATCCCACCACTCTCTACAACGAGACCAAAACCGAAGTTATAAAATCACTAAAGAAAACGAGTAGAATAGCTGTAATGTGCTGCATGGACATCTATTACCACTGGATCTTGTGTCACCCTTACAGCGCATTTTATCGCAGATGAGTGGCAGCTGCGTCTCATGTGCTCCAAACAGCAGTGAATGAGAGCCTTCAAGTTCATTTGCCGCATCACTTCCATTTTTTGATTTATTAATAAAAGATATTGGAAGTAAATGCATTATGGATCATTACAAATACTTTGCTTTAAAACTACCAAGTCCTCAGACAGTAGGAAAATAGAAATCCTGTATAGCAAAAAAAGATGCATCAAGATGCATCGATAATCGTTTTACAATCGCATCGCAGCCCTCTGAATCGTAATCGCAATCGAATCGTGAGGTGCCTAGAGATTCCCACCCCTAATAGTTGCATTGCATATTTTAGTTGGTTGTAGCTGGAATTTTATTTACTTGTATTTGTTTTTGTTTTTTTTTATACTTTTTGTGCTCTTTCTTTTGCTCTTATTGTTTCTTCATTTTAATTGCTCATTTAAGTTTTGAAATAATATAATATTGAATAAAACACCTTTATAATATATAAATGTTCATTGCATAATTCAGCTTGAATAACTGATTTTATGCTCACATTATTGTTTATATGATCTGCTTTGCAGGTGCGCTCAGAACCGGTTCAGTCCGGTCCGGACCTGCAGCCCGAGGCCGACCAGGAGGAGCTGGACTTCCTTTTTGATGAAGAGATGGAAAGATTGGCCGCGCCTCGCAAAAACACTTTCACTGATTGGTCAGATGACGACTCGGACGGAGAACTGGATGACAGAGACGTGAACAAAATCTTGATCGTGACTCAGACGCCCCCATACCTGCGGAAACACCCGGGTGGCGACCGGACGGGGAACCACGTCTCCCGCGCCAAAATCACCGCCGACCTCGCCAAGGCCATCAACGACGGACTCTACTACTACGAACAGGACCTGTGGACAGAGGAGGACAAACTGCTGGACAGCACCAACATTAAGGTAATGCAAATCACTCTCACATAAAAGGATATGGAGTTATATTGTAAAAATGGCTAATTGCTATAAACTGGTGTTAAAGGAAATTAAAGGAGCAGACGTTTGAGTTTGCTTCCTTAATTTTGCACTTAAGCTATAAGGCTAATGTAACAAATATTAATACCCCAACAATTAACATTGTTCAAACTGCATGTGGTGTCTGACACTGTTATCTATAAAAAAAAAAAAGGCAAAAAAACGGATGATTTTCAGGCTTTGGGGTGCCGCTTATTAGTTATGCAGCATAATTGTGTCCATGTTTATAGATAACTGTATGTCATACAGTTTTTGAATCCATGTAAGTCTATTATTGTAAGTGAGAGTACTTACAGGGGAATTACACAGAGTTTTCCAAATTTCTGCATAACTCAGTGTTTGAGACGTAAACAGAGTGATTCAGAGTGGTTTGGTGTGAAATGGTTCAGATTTATTTACAGTGGTTGTGATAGGAACCAGGACTCGCCATGACTACAACACAAATATAGCCATTTTATTTATTATTATCCAAAGCCACCAGTGAATCTACATATGAGTTTCTATATGGAATGTTGATGATGGTAAAATAGTGGAAAATCTGAAATGATAAGATTTCTTTGGGGACTATTTTGGGTTGCATTGCATTGCATGTATCCCTCCACAGTGCATACAGGTAAAAATAGTGTTTTAGGCCAAAAGCCTCTCAAAACTATGGTAGAACAATCTCTCATACATCAGGCAGTGAATTCATAACCATTTAATGTAATAACTTTCTGTGAGGGAGCTTTTAGAGGTGGACGTCTGGTTCCTATCACCACCACTGTGAGCACAGAGCATTTCACACCAAACCACTCTGAATGACTCTGTTTACATCGTAACCTTTGAATTATACAGAGATTTTGAAAAAACAGTGGAATTTCCCTTTACTAACACCACATGGTTTAAAGCCAGTGAGATGTTTTAGGCATGCAGTGGAGTATTTTTGTCCATTACTTCTCTGAACTGTCGCTTTATTATGTAAATATTTTAGCAAAATTGTAGGGCTGGGTGTTGTTACTGAGAAAGATTTGAATGACGATTCTTGAACAATCCTTTTTCGGTGCCTTCTTTGAGACTATAAACTGGAAGTGGGTGTAGCTTAAACCAGAAATGACTTGCTGGAAGCGGATCTGTTTAAGTGGATCTCGGAAATTCCGACTTCCCAGTTCAAAAAGAGCGCAACGCAGGTACTTAGATTTTAAAATGTTGTTATTGAATGACCTGTTTTTTTGATGCTCTGTAGGGTTGATGACATTTGGTCAATACCACAAGAGTACTGAACTTTCAGGACCCAGCCCCAGTGCTGATGCCATACAAATTATTTTCACCTTGAATAACCAGGCCAGGTCTGGCATGGGCAAATCCCCTAAAACACAGCAGGTTAAAAACCCAGTTAAGTGGATCATTAAACCAAAGGTCAAGTATCTCAGCCTTGGACACAGAACACCTTTAATGTCATGTTTATACACTGCCTTCTGTACGGAGATAATGTTATTTAGCTATTGTATGAATAGAAATGGATGTTTACAGTGGTGCTGTGCTTGTGGTTATATACTCATAGTTTCTCATCCCACAGTCCACTCATGTAAGAGTTAAATACTCAAGAGACGACATCCATACTGCACTGATATCGATCTCAGTGCTGTATTTGTACAGCACTGATGTCAGTGGTAAATATGCACTAGGGCATTACCCACACTCCTCTGATGTCAGTATTAAATAGGCCAAAAATACTCAAGGGCACACATTCATACTGAACTGATGTGAGTCTCGTATCTACACTGCAGTCTTCTTAAGTGTTAAAGGGGAGATCCACAAATCTTTCAAAGTTTCTGCATAATTCAGTCACTGATATGTAAACAGAGTGATTCAGAGTGCTTTGGTGTGAAATGGTTCGGATTTCTTGACAGTGGTGGTGATAGGAACCAGGGGTCGCCATGACTACAACACAAATATAGCCATTTTATTTACTATCCAAAACCACCAGTGAACCAACACGAGTCTTCTGAGTTTTATATGAACTGCTGATGATGCTAAGGTAGTGATAAGTCTGAAAAAAAGTTTTTTCTAGAACGGAGCATTTCTGAATAACTTTACATCTTAACCATTTAATTATGGAGAAATTTTAAAAAATTGGTGGAATTCCCCTTTAAATCTGCTCTGGAGTGTGACCCACACTGCACTGGTCTAAGTGTTAAATTCATACTGGGTCATGCTCTCCACTCCGCTGATTTTGAGTTACTGCTTAGAGTGTCAGGCCTCAGTTCTCTCAGATATCACCCAGCACGTATCCTTTACATGAGAACCAAATGCACAGAGATCCCAGAATGCATCTGTTCCTAAAATAAACCCTTATTTCTCACCGCTGCTCCATGAGTAGCCTCACAGGAACATCAATGCTAATGACCCTAAAGGCCAGTGAGTTGTCAAGGGTGGTTGTATAATTACTGCAATTTCGAACATTAGTACACCCTATAATAATAGCAATAATGATTATTTAATGATTATTATTAATATATTTTAATTGTGTGTATTGTTTTTTAATATGCAACTAAAGAGTCTTGGAGTACAGTGGACTTTAGGAAGTCTCTGGCCACTCAGATACAATTAGAAGTGTTCCCTTTTACTTCTCAACATACAGATGTGCGAAAGGGTCCATATCATACATCATACATTTTTACACAGATCCTATGAGGTCTGTGTGGATGTATACACAAAAAGTCAGTAAGTCACTGAATATATATTAATATTAAAGCAGCCTTCTTTGAGTCATTCTAGACACTGGAAACTTATTGATTGCACCATAACGTAGTGCATGAGATTCGTATTTAGAACTACAAAAGAAATCCATTTTTGTTCTGAACAGAAATCTGATACTACACCACATGTGCCGGTTTCATTTTTCGCTTTACCAGGGTCATCTACTCTTTATCTTAGTTTACTTTTCCTTTCTGTAGTTTTTATCACGTCTGTGTATTTGACTTTGGAAAAACAGGAGTAGTGGACATGGAGAGAGGGTGAGAGAGTGGACGAGAGTAGTGATGGAGAAATGAGATCAATGAAAGACACAAAAAGAATGAATGGAAAGGATCCTCACCTGTAAATCCAGGACAGACACCGGAATAGAAAACGGATATCATTCAGATTTTAAAACAGAAAGTATATTAGAAATAAAATAAACCTGAACTGAACTGATCATTGCATTTTTATGTAGGTTTGACTTTATCACATTTACGTTTTGAAAAGCTGTGCCCATGTAGTCTTAAATGCATTGAAATAGTGTTACTGTTAGTGATGTGTCATATGAAAAGGAATCAAGAGAGCAGTAAATCTCTAAACATGGGCTTTTGGACGCCATCATTTCAAGCCGTTGCAGTTTCGCATTTGTGTGAGTTTTGCCACCTGTGCTCACAACACTAAGGCCCTACTGCTTATCATGGTGACTGAAGGTGAAAGTACGCCTGAGTTATTTAACCCTTAGAAGTTGAGTTATCACTTCTATACAGTAAATGTATACTTCTATAAATATACTTACATAATAAATGGCATAGTTATATGATTCATTTTATTTGCATTCAATGCATAGGATAGTTCTACTTACAAACACAGATGTGGTGTGGATTAAAAAGTAGGTTCTGTACTGTGAACACAATTTCTCCACTTGTTTCAGTTTGCTTTGAAGTACGCTGTGGGCTTAGGGGTCAGTGTTTCTGGACAGTTTCGCTGTTTTTTTTTATTATTATTATTTCTGCCCCTGGATGTATCCGTCCACCATAAATGGATTGAAAAGTTTTGTTTCGGGCCGAAATGTTATAGCAGAACTATCATACACTGTCTCAGATGTCAGGCAGCATATTTCTAACATTCATTTCATGTAACATCTTTCTGTGAGGGAGCTTTTAGAGGTGGATGTCTCGTTCTTATCACCCTCACTGTGAACAATTCTGACTCTGTAAGTTCTATAGAACAGAGCATTTCACACCAAACCGCTCTGAATGACTCGTTTGCATCTTAACCGTTTTTAGTTTTGTAGACATTTTGAAAAATCAGTGGAATTTCCCTTAAGCCTAGTCCTGGGCTACACAGCATTCTAAATGGAGATTCTTCATTGAAAGCAAAATGTAGTCCAGGATTAGACTTAATCCCTCTCTGTTACAGAGAGAAAGAGGGAGAGAGAGAGCACAGAATTGAGGGAGTTCTGATATTGCGTTAGCTGTAATTTTAAATAAATATGAAAAATGTTCTTTGAAAGTTCTCTCTTTGTTTATTGTGTGTTTGTATACTCTACCAAGAACTTGTCCCATTTCTGTATGCTTGCTTTGGGGTCAGTCACATGCTCAGGTCAGTCCTTCCCATATGCAGCTTGGTTGAATATGAACAGAATGGTCCTCATAGCTCACTGCCACCATCTTAATGCTTTTCCTGCAAAGCTTCATTTGGTGCTTTAACAGATGCATGCTTTGTTTAACCTCCTATAAAACCCTCAATCAGACTGCTGTTAGTGCTAAACTGACCTATAAAGTATTTGTACAGTTTATGTGAAATAGGTCAACCATGGAGAAACAACTCTGAAAATGGCAGTGGACAAGTGTAAAGCTTGCATTCAGATCTCTAAACTGTCTGTTAGATCGCATTACTAAAAGCTATAATTACTGCAAACCAATTTAATTAGAATGCAGAGTGAAGATGGTAGTAGGTTTCAATCTACACTAACAAAGAATCATGCAGATTGGAATAACTTTCACAGCCAGATGTGGGTCCATCCACAGAGCTGAAAGCTTGGAGGTGAATATCTGACCGTTAGAATTCCAAATTATCATAAAAATACACTAAATACACCCGTGTGAACAGCCCCAGTCAAATGACGATGTTGATTTTCTATGTGAAAGCAAGTTAACACATCGTTTAAAGGGAACATATTTAAGTATAATATTTATATATAAACATATAATAGAAATTGTGGCACGCTTTTGCACAGGCCAATTTTGTTTTCAGCAATTAAACAGTGTACATTTAAATGTGCAGAAGTATGTGCATAGTTCATTGAATATTATTAAAATCAGTTCTAATCGGTTCTAACATTCCAGTATGGGTGCAGTTGAGTCACCTTTTCCTGATGCATTTTAACAGCCCTACTGTCGGCTGTAAAGCTGGTGGTTTAAGCTGTATTACGGTCATTCGGGACACAGTGTGACTAGAAGGGCCTTGAGTAAGACCCTTCACCTCAAATGCCCTATCGTAGAATCTAATCCTGCTTAGCGTGGTGACGTTCTAGCTTCACTGCTCACTGATGACGTGGCGTTAGAGCGTGTAATCTGTGCAGTAAGCTGCGTGTGTTATTTAAAGGGATAATTCAACAATGAAACTTTTACTGCCTGTTACACATTTAGCAACAACTAGCTTATTACAAATGATCAGACTTCCTGTCTATTTCCAGTAACTTACCAGAAAAACAATATCACTTATCAGAAAAACAGTGTTGGTGCCAATATTAGTGACCGTGCTTCCTTAGGAATAAAGCAAAAGGCCACGCCAACTTTTTCCTCTTGTGATGTCATCACTCAAACCTTTCAGGTGTTTGAACCAAAAGAGTTTCAATATGTGCTTTTGACAATAGTTTGGAAAAGAAAATTGTTAAATCATTATTTAGGCAAAACCTGCTCTTTATGATGTGTTAGTATCTTAAAGGAATAAATATGAACATAAAATAAATGTGTCTCTCCATCAGCAGGAAGTGGAGAACTTCAAAAAAATCAGCATGATCAGCCAGGACGAGTTTGACACGTTGACACCTAAAGTACCCATCGATCCCAAACAGGAAGTGCCCCCACCTCCCCCTTGCCAAGGTATTTTTTTTTATTGTATAATATCGTCCTGTGTACTGTTAGCGTAATACGTAGATACACTGGTGTTCAAAAGGTTGGAATCACTGTATATTATATTAATTATTATTAATAATTGCTGTTATTTTATTCAATAGTAACTTACACAGTGTAGAATAAAATGATGTAAGCTCGACACAAGAAGGTATTTTAAGATATTATATTCAGTATATTTCAGTGGGGGTTAATATTAATATACTGTAATTATTAAGATATATAGGTTTTCTACCTGAGCTTTGACATTTTAAATACAAAGCACTCAGGATGTTGATTTTATTAGTACTGTCTGTGCTTCTCTGTCATTATAGAATCTATAAATTTTTTATCAGAAACAGTGATTCTAAACTTTTGACTTCTGATTCTAAACTTCTGAACGTTGTTGTTTTTTATAAATGTGTGTGTGTGTGTGTGTGTGTGTGTGTGGTGTGTGTGTGTGTGTGTGTGTGAGAACACATATAAATGCCATCACTGTCCAAAGAAAAACAAGTATCTCTATCTCTAAAGACAAAAGGAAAAACCTGCCTAACTTTATCTTTTTTTTTGTTTTTGTTTTTTTTTTTGGTGAATTTTTACCCAATTATCTCCCCACTTTAGTCGTCTCCAATTCCACCCGCTAGTTAGGGCTCCCCCAGTCACACGATACTATCAACGCTAGGAGGGTGAAGGCTAACACAGGCTTCCTCTGAGACCTGTGAAGCGCTACCGCATCTTCTCAGACTGTCGCTAATGTAACATCACTGGACAGCTGAACGCTCAGAGGAAAGCGCCAACCGCCAGTTCTGTTACGTCAGCTAACAGATGCCTGCGCTGACTAGCATCGCGTTGAGTGATAGGGGGAAAAGGGGGGCCCATCCTACCCAACCAGAGAGAGCAATTGTGCTCTCTAGGACTCCCGGCCACAGATGGCTGTAGCGTCACCAGGGATCGAACTCACGATCTCCTGATGATAGGGGCAACGCTTAGATGGTTGCGCCGCTCAGGAGCCCTAACTTTATTTTTTAATGTGAAAAGGTATTTTATTTCAAAATGATTTTGGAGCATTTTTATTAGTCTAATTATGATAATATTTACGTAATGTATAGGGCAGCTGCCGTGTTCAAATGATGTAGAAAAATAAAAAATAAAAACATGTTTTTCTTTGGACAGTGACTATAATTTTACAAGCTTGACAGCTTTTTGGTGCTATATAGAACAGTTTTCAAAAAGGTGCTGCATAGAACCATATACAACACATTGTCCATCGTTCTGAAGAAACATTTAACCATGAAATGGTTCTATATAAAACATACACATACACAAACACTTGTGTGCATTTACACATTCCCTTTACTAAAGAACCCTTGAAGATCCATCTTTTTTAAAAAAAAAATGTGGATATACATGTCTGTGTGTGTGTGGGTGTGGGTGTTTGTGTGTGTGTGTTTGTGTGTGTGTATGTAAATATACATATATATATATGTACATGTATACACATATAAATATATGTGTATATATACACAACTGCTCTTCGGGCTTATGTTTGTTTTTTATTCTAGATGAGTCCAGCATGGCCCACTCTGTCCCCGCTGATGTCCCAGAACCCTCCAGTGCTCCCCGGACCCCCCGGACCCCGCGCACACCCGGCCGTCAGGACCCCACAAAAACGCCCCGCTTCTACCCTGTTATCAAGGACAGCGGCAACATTGATGGAAAGGTACATACATGAATGTGTGCATTACCTGCTGTTGGGTGAAAGCTTGACTTTTCAATACATGAGCAATACATTTAAAGTGATACTGAGGTTACTCTGACATGCTGTTATCTATAAACATGGAATAAATTATAGACAAAAGTTTTAGGAAGGGTTCTTCTGTTGTTTTTAATATACAGCATAGTGTATACGGATAAGTGTTTCATACAGTGTCAGAAACCACATAATAAGTCTATTAAAGATTACTGAACACCATTTCCCTCTCAGACCCCCCGGAAGAGGAAAACTCGGCACAGCTCTAATCCGCCGCTGGAAAGTCATGTGGGCTGGGTGATGGATTCCAGAGAACACAGACCACGCACCAACTCCATCAGGTTAGAGTCACATCACAGCTGCATGAATGAGTCCACAGCAGAAACATGCTGGTACTGGTCACTCAGACCACCGAGCAAATTCATCATTCAGCATGTTTATCGTAAAAACACTGTGTTTTCATTTAACAAGCATTCGTCAGTACCAAAAGTCAATCAGGTACTGCTTTGAAAACGAAATATTTGTTAAAAACATTGCATTAATGAGAACATTGGCATCATTTCAGCTAGTGTGTTTACAGTTAGTGAATACAGACAAAATCAGATGTTACCATCAGTTCTGTGTTATGAACTTCTGCCATTGTCTCTCTCTTTCTCTCTAAGCAGTAGTTCTAACGCATCTCCGTCAGAGGGCGCCCCCTTGCAGTCAGGCAGTTATGGCTGCACCCCCCAGTCTCTGCCCAAATTCTGGCACCCGTCCCACGAGCTGCTCCAAGAGAACGGCTTCACCCAGCAGGTTTACCACAAGTACCGCCGACGCTGCCTCAACGGTACACACACAGATACACAGCAGGATTCACACATACGGTCACACAGTGATCATCACACACAGCCAGAGCACTCAATTTCCTCTTAAACAACCAGAACGCTCACTTTACTCTTACACATCCAACACACTCACTTTTCTCACACACAGCCAGAACGCTCAGTTTCATCTTAAACAACCAGAACGCTCACTTTCCTCATACACGAAGAGAACACTCAACAACCATACACAACCAGAACACCTCAATAAAATGCAGTAGCATGGACTCTGTCTTTCTTTACCTGGTGTATCAGGTTGGTTTGTGATGGTTTGCTGTTTTTGTTTGTAGAGAGGAAACGGTTGGGAGTGGGTCAGTCTCAGGAGATGAATACGCTCTTCAGGTTCTGGTCCTTCTTCCTCAGGGACAACTTCAACAGGAAAATGTACGAGGAGTTTAAGCAGTGCGCCTTGGAGGATGCCAAAGAGAACTACAGGTGAGAATCAGGTGCTTGGTTACTAAGCTTCTGGTGAGATCAAGATGCTTGGTTTCTAAACTACAGGTGAAAACCCAGGTATGTGGTTATTAAGCTACTCGTGAGAACCCAGGTGTGTGGTTATTAGGCTACATGTGAGAAGCAGGTGCTTGGTTACTAAGCTGCAGACAAGAACCAGGTGTTTGGTTACTAAGCTACAGTCGAGAACCAGGTGCTTGGTTACTAAGCTACAGATAAAAACCAGGTGTTTTGTTACTAAGCTACAGATAAGAACCAGGTGCTTGGTTACTAAGCTACAGATGAGAACCAGGTACTTGGTTACTAAGCTACAGACGAGAACCAGGTGCTTGGTTACTAAGCTACAGAAGAGAACCAGGTGATTGGTTATTAAACTACTGATGAGAACCAGGTGCTTGGTTACTAAGATACAGACAAGAACCAGGTGCTTGGTTACTAAACTACTGATGAGAGCCAGGTGCTTGGTAACTAAGCTACAGGAGAGAGTCAGGTGTGTGGTTACTAAGCTACAGGTGAGAACCAGGTGCTTGGTTACTCAGCTACAGATGAGAGCTAGGTACTTGGTTACTAAGCTAACTAAGTTAATAAGTGACAGGTCAGTAGCATGTGTTGGTTACTAAGATGAGAACCAGGTTTTTGGTTACTAAGCTACAGGTGAGAACCAGGTTTTTGGTTACTAAGCTACAGGTGAGAACCAGGTATTTGGTTACTATACTACAGATGAGAGCCAGGTATTTGGTTACTATACTACAGATGAGAGCTAGGTGCTTGATAACTAAGCTACAGGTGAGAGCCAGGTGTGTGGTTGCTAAGCTGCAGGTGAGAACCAAGTGTTTGGTTACTAAGCAACAGACGAGAACCAGGTGCTTGGTTACTAAGCTACAGACAAGAACCAGGTGCTTGGTTACTAAGCTACAGGTAAAACCCAGTTGCTTGGTGACTTGGCTGCAGATGAGAACCATGTGCTTGGTTAATATGTTACAGGTCAGCAACAGGTGCTTGGTTGCTAAGTTACAGATCAAAGCTAGGTGTGTGGTTACTGAGCTACAGGTAAGAACCAGGTGTAAACTACACAGTACACTCTAACAGGGACGATTGTTTTAGGTCAGACACAATGCATTGTTACAAAAAATTCTGTAGTCAAATCATCAGCAAACACCACGCCTGCTGCAGGATTCCTCTTGAGGTACAATGCTGAACACATTTAGGGAGTAATTGGGTGCGGTCTGATAATGTGAGAGCTGGTGAAGCTGGTCATAAATTAATGGGCTGGCATAGCACAGGGAGCTAGTGAACAGGTCGTTCCAGTTCTGAACACTGTCCGGGTTATGTTTGTGCAAGTGTGTGTGTGGGAACAGCAAATATTGAACTCAGGACTTGCGTATTAAGTTTCTTTTTTAGAGAAACAGAACTGTTATGTGCAGTAAAGATTTGTCTTAAATATGCATACTGATACAAACATGCTATTTGAGTATTTAAATGTGCCCAAGCATAAACATATGTTCACATTAACGTGTTGCATGAATGCACACTATTTTCACTTGTATGCACTTACCTTAGCATATGCATATACGGTCACATCTAATTAATTACAGCACTAGTTCGTCATAGCGCTGTTGTCGGTTACTACTGATTATATATAAATGCCCTATGCAATAAAATGTTTTAGAAGAAACATTTTGCAACTTAAGCATGTCTGGATGTGAACACCCAGGTCAACCTTGCCCTAAAATTTACCTAAAAAGATGAAATCTGTTGAAAAACAGGTTTTCAGGATTTTATAGTGTAGCAGTATACACCTGTGCTCTTCTGTAAATATGCACACCTGTGCTCTTCTGTAAATATGCACACCTGTGCTTTTCAGTAAATATGCACACCTGTGCTCTTCTGTAAAAATGCACACCTGTGCTCTTCTGTAAATATGCACACCTGTGCTCTTCTGTAAATATGCACACCTGTGCTCTTCTGTAAATATGCACACCTGTGCTTTTCAGTAAATATGCACACCTGTGCTCTTCTGTAAAAATGCACACCTGTGCTGTTCTTTAACAAGCAACACTGAAATTATTTAACTAGCTAATAGCAAATCTCCCTGACAGCATCATGCTAAGTTGACGTGATTTGGGCTAGTTTTCTTGTAACCTTGTGTACCTGTGCTTATCTGTAACAAGACACACATGCTTTTTTTTGTAACAGTGGCGTATATTTGTAGGCACCTGCACTCACCTGTTGCTGTGTTTCACTGCAGGTATGGCTTGGAATGCCTGTTCCGCTTCTACAGTTACGGTTTGGAGAAGAGGTTCAGACCTGAGATCTTCAAGGAGTTCCAGGAGGAAACCTTAAACGACTATGAGAAAGGTACACATCTGACATGGTAAAAGACCTGAACTCAAAATGTTGTGTTGATACTCTTTCAGTGACCCAATGGGTCTGTTTTGAATTGAGTCTGACCAATATGCATTACTGTGCAAAAGTTTGGGCACCCCTGGTCAAATTACATAGTTTGTTGATTTTCTAAGCCAAAACAGTTCTTTGCATGCACAGTTAGTGTTTATTTGCCGAATTTAACATATTGAGGTGAAAAAGAAAACCTAAAATGTGTATATATAATTTTTTTTTCCCCTAGTGTAAAATTCAGCAAATAAATAGAAATTATGTTTGAATTGTGTTCTGTAGATGAATTCTTTGCCTATTTTCACATAGAAAAACAAAACATGTAATTTGACCAGGAGTGCCCAAACCTTTGCATACAACTGTATTGTTTTGTATTGTATTATTAAAATTGGCTGATATTAAGCTTGAATGGATTTATTGGTGACAAAACACCAACAACCTTGCTTTATATGTGTGCACTTGTTTATTTAAAGTTTCTGATTTTTAAAGGGGGGGTGGGGGTTTGTTTTTTTTTGGTTGAAAATCCTTTTGATTACCCAATAATGTCCTTATTCTGTAACAGCCCTGAATAAGACTTAAGCAAGGCACCATTTGAGGAGCTTTCCTAGCCAGTCCACCAGTAACTGCCAGTGAATCACTATTGTGTTGTTGAACTTTGGCATCGAATTGCTGGACCAAAATTTACTCAGCCTAGCCAGAGTCACGCTCCAGTGCTGTAGTTATGTGTTGTGAAGTTGCGAAAGCGTCTTATCAATTATCAATTAATCTGCTTGGGCTCAGACATCTTGTCTTCAGTCAACTCTTGTACTTGTCTGCATCACATAATGACGAGACGTGCAAAGGCCACAGTGCTTTGATCAGTTTAGAGTCATTGATGTTTTCAGTGAGTCATACGGGTCAAACATTTGTCACATGGGTCACAGGTTGTCTGTCATGATTAAATAAACATAATGAATGGTTACTGTAAAAAGTGCAGTGTTTGTTCAAACAGAGTGACTGAGATTCGCATTATGCAGCTCTTTGTAAACATGTACGTGGACATGTTTGTGCTATGTGTGTGAACTGTTGTGTGAGCATGCGAGCAAGTATCTTTCTGTGTTTGTTAGGGTAATATCCTTATTTAACTTTGGAATTATCCTAATTTATCCTAATTTAACTTTTAATTTATCCTAATTTATCCTAATCTAACTTTTAATTTTTAATTTCATTATTTAATTTAATGATTTTCTCTTTTAAATTTATTATTTTGATCATGTTTTAATTAGGTTTTTAATGTTGCTTTTAATTATGTTTTTCTATTTGCGTTTACTTTTTTAAACAGCTCTCACTTGTAAAGCACTTTGAATGACAGCAGCGTATGAAAGGTGCTATATAAATGAACTTGCCTTGCCTAATGAAAGGCATTGGTGCACCATGATGCATTAAACTGAAGATGACTGCATTGATCGTAATTAGTCAAAAACATTTAATAAATGTTAATGTGCGCGCTTGTTTTTGGCCAAAATGAAATTCCAAACGTTATTATTAATTAATATAATATTCATATTCTACTACTGCATAAATTGTTCCACTAGTTGAATTTGTATATGCCATTTATTTTTTAAGGGCTGTCAAACAATCAGATAATTTATCATGATTAATTGTATTTTTTGTTGTCCTAGTCGCTTAAATTTGACCCTAAAGACAGATTTGTTCCATTATTGAGACAATGCGTTTTGTTTTAGCTATATGAGTGGACAAAATAAGCTTAATCAGAATGTTTTAAATAATGAATGAACCACTAAGTGAACAGTTTTAAGTTTTCATCGCTGACATCCAGTGAGAGCAACAGTGTCTGCATGTTCCAGCAGATAAAGTGCTCAGTGAGTGTGTGTTATATATAGTCAGTGGTTCAGCTCTTTCATGATTGTAGCCTCTCACTCTCATTCACACAGCTCATGGATTCTTGTTGCAGTGGAGGCTCTCCAGGGAAACTACAGCTCCACCAAGCTGCTGCTTTTGTTAGTTTGCTGCTGGTTGATTTATCCATAGGTCTCTTCAAGCACTGTTCAGTGTAGTCTGCTGAAGGTATCACTTTAAAGGTTGTGTTTGAATGAAAGGGCTACAATCACTGATTCTATCAAAGCAACATGCGGTGCGCTGCAGCTGGTCTTCAGCCTGCACTAGTATGAATTGGTCGAAAGATCAATCTAGAAAAATGTGTTAACAGATAACTAATCTCTGCCTGTGTGTGTTGTTTGTGTCCAGGTCAGCTGTACGGTCTGGAGAAATTCTGGGCGTTTCTGAAGTACTCCAAAGTTAAGGGCCAGGTCATTGACCCCAAGCTGCAGGAACACCTCAGCAAATTCAAGAGCATAGATGACTTCAGGGTGGAGGTGGGTCTGTGAGAGACCAAGGAACCAGCACAAATACCAAACATTTTAAAGCGATAGTTCAGCAGAGAACACAATTTCGATAGTTTTCCCAAATGTAGGCAATCAACCAGGACATGTTTGCTGACAAAAATATGTTTCATTGCTACATTTAGGCATTTTGAATACAAAACAAGATTCTTTGATGATCACAAAAGAAGTGACAAACCCAAAAATGCTTTAGTCTATGTTTATATCCTGATCAGGCATAACATTATGACCACCTCCTTGTTTCTACACTCATTGTCCATTTTATCAGCTCCACTTACTATATAGGTGCACTTTGTAGTTCTACAATTACAGACTGTAGTCCATCTGTTTCTCTGATACTTTGTTAGCCCCCTTTTACCCTGTTCTTCAGTGGTCAGGACCCCCATGGACCCTCACAGAGCAGGTACTATTTGGATGGTGGATCATTCTCAGCACTGCAGTAACACTGATGTGGTGGTGGTGTGTTAGTGTGTGTTGTGCTGGTACGAGTGGATCAGACACAGCAGTGCTGCTCGAGTTTTAAACACTGTTTCCATTCACTGTCCACTCTATTAGACATTCCTACCTTGTCAGTCCACCTTGTAGATGTAGAGTCAGAGACGATAGCTCATCTGCTGCTGCACAGTTTGTGTTGGTCATCCTCTAGTCCTTCTTCAGTGGTCACAGGACGCTGCCCACAGGACGCAGTTGGCTGGATGTTTTTGGTTGGTGGACTGTTCTCAGTCCAGCAGTGACACTGAGGTGTTTAAAAACTCCAGCAGCACTGCTGTGTCTGATCCACTCAGACCAGCGCAACGCACACTATCACACCACCACCACGTCAGTGTTACTGCAGTGCTGTGAATGATCCGCCACGCAAATAGTACCTGCTCTGTGAGGGTCCATGGGGGTCCTGACCACTAAAGAACAGGGTAAAACAGGGCTAACAAAGTATGCAGAGAAACAGATGTAATTGTAGAACTATAAAGTGCACCTATATAGTAAGTGGAGCTGATAAAATGGACAATGAGCATAGAAACAAGGAAGTGGTCATAATGTTATGCCTGATCGGTGTAGATAACAGTGTGTCGTACAGAGTCAGAAACCATATAAGCAAGTCTATTAGAGACTACTAGTCTGTTAGAGAGCTCCACACGGATTGAGGCAAATGTGTAACCAATTAGGCCTGCAGTTAGCACAATGCTAATTAGTGGGGTGTAAGCTTTGATTACTGCAAACTTCAAACACCAGACACGTCTTGGCTGATTGACTACAATTGGAGAAAATAGAAAAAACTTCACCAAATTACCACTGCAGCTTCTTATTTTGGCTATATTTGTTAGTTTGAGTTTGATTTGTTAATGAGTGACTGATAATAATTCCAGTATTATCAATTCCAGCCACCCATGGGCGATGAGGGGGGCCGCAGGCGGAGACACTCATCCTCCGGAGGCGACGAGAGCAGACGCAAACGTCACAACTCTTCTTCATCATCCTCCTCAAAACAGGCCCCGCCCACCAAGCCCTCCAATCATCCTGCTGCTGCAGCGGCCAAGATGGATTCAAACAGTCGGTCAGCTTCTCCAGCAAACACTAAAACCACTTCGGCCAATCAGGGGCCAGCCAAGGCAGCCTCAGCCCATCAGTCAGGAGGTGTGGCGAACAGCAAAACCACATCAGCCAGTCAGCCGGCTGCTGCAGGGCCCGCCAAAGCACCCTCAGCCAATCAGAAAGCAGCAGCAACATCCGCCAAGGGCACCACAGCCAGTGAGCCGGCTACAACAACGAAGGCCCCACCCAAAGAAAACGTGAAGAAAATTCCACAGTCTGAAACGCGCAAAGGAGAGTCAGCGGCAAGCAAAACCAAAGACGCACATCCGCCAAAGAAATGAGTTCCAGACTGTTTGGTGCTTCGAGTGACCACTGCTTCTGATCTTAGCCTTTTTTCCAAGGCTGATTGAGGTTTACGGTTTACACTGTAAATCTGTTCTACGAGTGAATCAGTCAAACCGTTAAAGTGAAGCCTGAGTGTTTAAACCATCACAGCTGCATTGATTTCACTACGTCTAAGTGTCAACCAGAATGTTGTATTATTTGTCCTAGCAGACAGATTTTGACTCTTTTGTTTATTGTTGTTTTGCCGTTTCAATCAGGCACAATCAGTGGACTGCAAAGAATAATGGGAGTCAAAACGTTCTGCTGTGAAGTTTACGAACACTGCATCTAATGCAGCTTATGGACAATGTGTTCACGTGTTGAATGTACATTTCTCTCTGTTTTATTTTATCTTTAGGGGTGCCTTACATTTCAAAAGGAAAAAAAAACATGACAACAATATAACCTAAATGTATCAGGAGGATATATCGAACTTGATTTTGTTTCTAAGGTGTCATAACTTTTGCTGTTTGTGTGCCTGAACAAAGTAACGCGGTCACAGGTGGGAAACGAAATGAAGCAAGCTGACCTGTAATAAAATACAACATTATTTGCTCCAAAATCTCAAATTCTATACATAGTAAACTACATTTTGCTCTTTGAAGCTTGTGGAAGGAAAACCATGACAAAAAAAGTGACACTATACAGAGTTTCTTGACGCGTAGCTTGCATTTACCTGCATTTATGATACGAGTGTTAGAATAATTCAGAATAATGCTCAAAGCCAAAAATAAAAAGGTGGGATTTTAATCCGCTATTAAAATCCTCTTATTTTAATCTGCTATTTTAACAGATTTGCTGTTCGTATAGTGTGACCGGTGAGGGTGAGGACACCACTGTCCCTCGGGGGTTACACAGAGTTGTGTGGAAAAGAGCTCCAGGCTGGGCAGTGGGCGGGTCACCCCTATTCTTTTTTTGATTTTGACTTAAATCAGAAACATATCTCTCTACTTGAAGTTTTATTTTCTAAGAATTTTTATCTTTTTAAACAAAAAGGAGCTATATTTCCAGAAAAAAAGTTTTAAATTCTATTGGAGATGGGATATTTTTTTTTTCCTTTCTATTTTGAATGATGTAATTGATGATAATCCTATTTTTTATTGCTTATACAGCTTATTTGGATAATGCAGCTATAAAATACAAATAGAAACTGTACATAAATATTGTGAGAAATTACTCTTGATTTGGTTGATTTAATTTTTATTCATCCGTATTATTGTAGTATTGTTTTGCGTGCGCTGGTGTGTTTAAATGCATGTCAGGTTAATTTTTTTTTTTTCTGCTTAATAAATTGTAACATGTACAAAAAAAAATGCATATATAAAAAAATGTATTAAAAATCTGTTTATAAAAACCCAATCCTATGCATTGTTTTGTGTCATTCATAAGTGAAATCTGACTCATGTGGAGTCTTACCTTTATTATAGATTGCTGTAAAACATGCATAATTATGAATAATAACTTTTTTCTTATTGAACTGTGTCCAGAAATGTATGAGAAAGTGTATGCATTACATGTAACTTGGGCAAGTTACACAAAAACAAAAAAAAAATAAACAACAATAAACTACAAATCCCAGACAATGAGCACCAACAGATGTGCTTTACGGTGCGTGGTGGGCGAGTCCAACTGATAGCTGACCAATCAGATGGAAGTATGTGCTTTCTGGACCCAACGACAGCGGACCAATCACGTACTCGCTCCAGACCGAAATGGGCGGGACCAAACAACAAAGGGCCAATAATACGTCTCCTAGAATCCAAAATATTAGGGGGTGCGAACAAAGGAGGACCAATCATGCACGACATAGATTCCAAAACAGGGGGAGTGGAGCGACAGAGGACCAATCACGTACGATCTACTGTCCAAAACTGAGGGAACAACAATGGCCCCGTCATGTCCCCAACAGTCCAAAACAGGCGGGTTCCAACGACGAAGAACCAATCATGTGTGACTTGGAGTCCAAAATAGGCGGGTCGAAGGACGGAGGACCAATCATATGTCACCTAGAGTCCAAAACAGCCAGGTTCGAACGACTGGGAACCAATCATATGCGATCCAGGGTCCAAAATAGACGGGTTCGAACAATAAGGGTCCAATAATACGCCCACTACAGTTCAAAATAGGCGGCTTCGAATGGCAGAGGACCAATCACATCTACGCCAGGGGCCAAAGTGGGCGGGGCATTGCCACAGAAGCCCAATCATATGCGCTCCCAGCCTGCGGTGGGCGGGGTGTGTGTTGTGGGTCGGCGCTAACGTGCAGACAGTATGGCGGACGATGGGGACGGCAGGAGTGGAGCAGCAGCGGGCGACACAAGCGGCGGGCAGGGCGCGACGAGCACAGAGGAGCTGGATCCAGGGCCCGGTGTCGGCGGCATGCTGCTCAACATCAGCATTTTAATCCTCGTGTTGGCCGTCTGCTACGGCGTGTACCGGCGGTGGCTGAGGCGGTCGGGCGCGGACGCGGCCGCGGGCAGTGAGGCCTCGCCTCTGCCCAAGATGGGCAGGCGCGACTTTACCCTGGAGCAGCTGCGGGAGTACGACGGGGTCCAGAACCCGCGCATCCTTATCGCCGTAAACATGAAGGTGTTTGACGTGACCAGCGGCAGAAAGTTTTACGGACGCGGTAAGAAGGAGAGAGTTTCAAAACAACATTTTGACACGAAGCTGTAGTCTGCCTCTTGTTTGAATTTTCCCGTTCCACCTTAAATAGTGCAGCAGGTACATTCTGGAGCCTGAGTCGCCAGAATGTGACTGCTGCACCATTTAAGGTGGAACGGAAAAATTCGAATAGGAAGCCAACTTCAGCCTCGTCACTTCTTCGACTGTGTAGCTGTGAAGCACAAACTTCACTTCACTTGAAAAGGCTGAAAATTTAGACCTTTTCCTGACAGGCTAAAATCCATAAAACGGCTAACGCTAAAACCCAGAAAAACTGTTGCCGGGGCAACAGAGCTCAGGCAGCGGTTTTTATTTTAGCTTAGCTTAGCTAACGTTAGCCCCCCCCTTAGCCATACTAAAGCCATGGGCTGATTTAATAAACACGTTATGTGTTTTTTTGGTATTATTGTTTCCTTAGTTACAGTTTCTGTTGCTTTGTTTCAGTTTAACCAGAGCTTTTATTAGTAAAAGGAATAATCATTGGCTTGCGTTGGCATTAACGTTAGTTGCCAATGGCTAACTTAGCATAGCGTAGCGTAACGGCCCCTCTGAACGAGCGGGCAGCTTCTCCAAGTTCAATTTCTGTGAGGTTTTGGTCACTATCGACCACGAATTTACCACGACCTGGCGTGGTAAAAGCTTTTAAGGCAATCTCCAAGTGCCAAAGTGCTCCAGTGAGGATAAAATATGATATTTCTCTGTTTTTAGTAACAGCGCCACTCAGGAATTTGACTCCAAAAGTGCAGAGGAGAGATGTCTCTAAATTGGCACCAGAGAGTTTTGCTCTGGGGAATTGAATATTTTTTTAGGGCAAAAAATAAATGTTTTTTATATCGATTTATATCAATTTAAAGGAGCACAATTCTCAAATCACAACAGCTGCATTTTTTTTACAATTATAGCCTAACAGTTACATTAACAATGTTGTCTTAAGTTTTAAGTGGGGAAATTTATTCTAATAAAACAGAGCTTGTAAACTGCATATAGATGAGTTAGACCAATCAGAGGCAACCTGTTGTGACATCACAACCGCAACTTTCTGGCAGACTGGCTCACTGCATTCAAGGGTTGAGTCTCAAGTCAGAAGAAGTGGATATTTTGGTCTTCTTGGCCTAAATCTTAATTTATAGAATTAAATTGAAAGTCACAGTCGCAATATTGTTAAGAAATCGCAATTAGATATGTTCCCCAAGTCATTCAGCCCTTATTTTCTTTTTCTTCTTCTTCTTCTTTTCTTCTGCTTCTTCTAATTATTGTTATTATTGTTATTGTTATTATTATTATTATTATTATTATTATTACTATTATTATTGTGAGGTGATCCATTGCTGCCAAACCCATATACTCCAGTAAAAGGAGCCCAAACAGCTCTTTTTGCTCTTTCTTATAATGTTAGTGAAGACAAGAACTTCACTAACATTATAAGGATCCATATTTGAGGGGAGAAAGGGAGATTTATTATGTCACAGGAAAAACAAATTGGAGGTCTGTTATTCCTTGACGTTAATAGTCATCTGAGCAGAGACCTCACATTTAGTTTCACGGCTGGCCAAATCTCTTACTGCTCAAATGCTAGCTGAATATTTCTTGGGGAAAAGGTTAGGAATCGTCAAAGTGGTTACAGGAACCGGCAACCATATGTGTTTCACTTTAAAACCGTCTGGTAAATATTGACTTATTTATAGATTAGTTTAAAACTCTTGTTTTTTTGTTTTACTATTGTTTATTATCTTAATAGGGAATTCTACTATTTTTTCTAAATTTCTGAATAATTCAGTCATTGAGATGTAAACAGTCATTCAGAGTGGTTTGGTGTGAAATGGTTGATTGTAGAGACTCAGATTTCTTTAAGCCAAAGTTTATCACAAAACTATCAGAAAACAATGTCTCAGACACCAGGCAGTGTATTCATAATCATTTCATGTTATAACTGCGAGGGAGCTTTTAGATGTGGACGTCTGGTTCCTATCACCATCGCTGTGAACAGTTCTGACTCGGTAAGTTTCTCTAGAATGGAGTGTTTCACTCCAAACCACTCTGAATGACTGTGTTTACATCTCAAACCTTTAATTATGTAGACTTTTTGAAAAATGGTTGGTTTAGTACAGCAGCTTTTCAGCTATGGTTAGCTAGCCAACCAGCAGTTACAGCTATTTTGGCTGTGAAAAGAGGACTCGGGTGCAGTGCTGTGCGTCAGACTATTATTTATTTCTTTATACAAAATCAAATCCAGAAAAGTGGCATGTGAAACCCTAATAAAAACAGAAAACAGTGACTAGTAAATTTGATCTGACTTGCACTACATTGAAAACAGTTGAAAAAAAAACATATTTTATGTTTTGCCTTATGAAATTCATTGTTTTTTGTAAATATACTCTTTTTATAACTTTAATGCCTGCAACGTGTTCCAAAAAAGATAGGACGGGAGCATGTTTACCACAGGGTTATATCTCTCTTCCTTTAAAAAAACACTTAATAATCATATGGGGATTACAAACAAGACCCTTCTGGAGGGCCAGTCTAGCACCCACACTCTATAATTGCGGAGTCATACTGTTGTAACATGTACAGAATTTGGCTTGGTTTTGTCATGTTGAAACAAGTATGGGTGTCCTTGAAAAAGATGGCCCGTAAAAAGTAGCTTATGAAGGTAGCGTATGTTCATCATTAATGTTGCTGTCACAGATGTGCAGTTTACCCACTAAAACCTCCCATACCGTGAATTTCGAACTTGACACTGGTAACAGTCTGCCAGGTCCTTTTCTGCTTTGGCCCAGAGAATTTTCCATAAACAGTCTAAAAGCTTGACTCATCAGACCACAATACACGTTTCCACTGTTCACTAGTCCGTTTCAGATGTGCTGAGCCCTGAGAGCTCAGCGGTGTTTCTGGACGCTATTGGCTCCTACTGTGCATAGAACAGTCCTAACTTGTATTTATGGATGCAGCGACAAACAGTGTTTACTGACAAAGGATTGTCAAAGTATTTCTGAGCTCATGTGTAATATCCACCACAGCACCATGCAGTACCATCTGAGGGGTCGAAGGTCACAGGCATTCATTTGTTTTCAGCCTTTTCTTTTATGCATAGAGATTTCTGCGGATTCCCTGAATATTTTAAAAAATCATTATGAACAGTAGAGCATATTGCAATCCCTGGCAGAGGAATGTTGTTTTTAAGCTTTTGGATTTTTTTTGCTGATGCATTTTTGGCAAAGTGGTGAGTCTTGACCCCTTGCTTATAAACATCTAGGCCTTTCCTGGATAGTCCGTTTATAGCCTAATCTTGATTATATCACTTGTTTATGATTTTTGAAAATGTCTCAACATTCCTAGTCTTAAATTGCTGCGGTCCCAGCTTTTTTGGAAATTGCTGCAGGCATCAATATCAGAATGAATATATATTTACAAAAAAACAAAAAATTTGAAAAGGTAAAACATGAAATGTCTTGTTTTTGTAGTGTTTTTGTTCAAATGCAGGCAGATTTATAAATCACTGCTTTTTTTTATTTGCATTTTGCATTTGCAGTCCTAACTTTTTGGAATTTCTTTTCATAAATGCGTCCGGATGAATCCAGAGAGCAACTTAAAGTTGCTGGTATAACTATTCCAGTGTAGCCATGTCTGACATGGACATTACACAGATAGGCCAGTTAGCTCGCTGGCCTGTCTGGTTAGCTCGCTGTGTTTACGTGTGGGTGTGTGTCAGAGTTTGCTAACACTAGCTCTGCTTACTTGTGTGTATAACAGAGGTTGCTGACTGTAGGTGTGGGTGTCAAAGTTTGCTTTTATTAGCTATGTGTACATGTCTGAATGAAAGTTTACTAGCTGTGCCTGTGTGCCAGATGTTGTGTACGTGCCTGCAGAGTGAACGTGTCTATTTAAGAATGAACTGACCTGCTCACCCCCTCTTTACGTGACCACTGCACCTAGCACAAAAGTTGTATCATGGAAACGTGACACGCTGTAAACAGTTTCAAGCTGGATGACTGTTTCACAGAAGTGGCTATGACACTTTGCATTCACAGCGTAAAATTTGCCTTTACAGCTCATCTCTTGCGAAGCTGACCGAGCAGCTGTGACTTGTATCTTCTACCACGTTGTGCATTTCCCTCCCCCTTCTTTCAGTCAGTTAAGAGGCTGGTTTTTGGCTCGTCTGGTTACATGCCACAGCTGTTAAACACAAGATGCATTCATGCTTAAAACTATTACACTTCTGCTTAAATTAGTTCTTTTATTTTTTTTAAGGTAACAGCGATAGATGTGCAGTTGAAGCTTTATATGTATAAGCTATGTTAAGGCTAACAGCTGCGTTAATGCTCCAAGATGTGATTGATATTCAAAAGTAGTGCCCGGCAATATGGCAAAAATATGCTACTCGAATACTTGACGTTTCCACGATGCACAGTACAGTGTCACAGTACACACACAATTAAGCCTGACATGATCAGGGCATGTCAATTGCCTTGTTGGCTACTATAGTGTGTGTAACAAGTGTCTACACTCAAGTCATCCAAAGCTTACATTTTTTCTCTTGAAAATGAGTGAAAATCACTCATTCTACAAGCATAAAGACTAAAATTAGTGCTAGCTATACTAGCTACCAAATTGACAAACATTCCTCGTAAACACATTGAGCACATAGTTGAATTTAAAAGAAGGAAGGGATTATTTTATATATGTGTATTTGACTTAAGCCACCCACAGAAAATGCATCTGACTCACATTATGCTTGTTGCTATATGATGTGATTGCAGTTATTTTCATTAAATTATACAATCAGGCTACATAATTATCCCAAGTAGTTGTGATTATTGAGCACAAAGTATTTAACCCCTTTAAAATCCCAGGCTTATTATTTAGTAACTACAGGGCCTTCAGTGCAAACTGGCTGAGCTATTCTCAGGTTATAGATGTGTGTAATAAAACATTGGGTCTGCCAGTGGGCCCTGACCATTTAAGGGG